GGTTGCTTCTTTGTTGGCACACAAACTTGGTGTCACTCAGGTTTAGGCTCTTTCCTCTGTTTCAATGAGATATGTCAAGATTCAAGCTAATGCTGTGTGGATCCTTTCTTACAGTGTACCATTGCTCACGCTCTGGAGAAGACAAAGTACCCTGATTCTGATATCTACTGGAAGAAGCTTGACGACAAGTACCATTTCTCATGCCAGTTCACTGCGGATCTCTTTGCAATGAACCACACTGATTTCATCATCACCAGTACTCTCCAAGAAATTGCTGGAAGGTAAACAGAGATTTGAATGCAGTTGACAGTAAATAGTTTCATTCAGAGATGTGTTTTCAGTATTAATATACTCATTTTGCAGCAAGGACACTGTTGGACAGTATGAGAGCCACACGGCCTTTACTCTTCCCGGACTGTACAGAGTTGTTCACGGAATTGATGTTTTTGATCCCAAGTTCAACATTGTCTCCCCTGGTGCTGACATGAGCGTGTACTTCCCTTACACAGAGAAGGAGCGTAGATTGACTAAATTCAACCCTGAGATTGAAGAGCTCCTCTACAGCGATGTTGAGAACCTAGAGCACTTATGTGTGCTCAAAGACAAAGCAAAGCCAATCATCTTCACCATGGCTAGGCTCGACCGTGTCAAGAACTTGTCCGGTCTTGTTGAGTGGTACGGGAAGAACACTCGCCTCCGTGAGCTGGTTAACTTGGTTGTCGTAGGAGGAGACAGGAGGAAAGAGTCAAAGGACAACGAAGAGAAGGCAGAGATGAAGAAGATGTATGAACTCATTGATAAATACAAACTCAACGGCCAGTTCCGGTGGATCTCCTCTCAGATGGACAGGGTTAGGAACGGTGAGCTCTACCGTTACATAGCTGACACCAAGGGTGCGTTTGTGCAACCTGCATTGTATGAAGCCTTTGGACTGACTGTTGTGGAGGCCATGACCTGTGGTTTACCGACATTCGCCACTTGCAAAGGTGGTCCAGCTGAGATCATTGTGCATGGTAAATCGGGTTTCCACATTGACCCTTACCATGGTGATCAGGCTGGTGAGGCTCTTGCTGATTTCTTCACCAAGTGTAAGGAAGATCCATCTTACTGGGACGAGATCTCAAAGGGAGGGCTTCAGAGGATCGAGGAGAAGTAAAAAAATCAAGAAACTCATGCTTTCTTGTTCTTTTACAAGATTCTTAAAAGTTTTAGCTGACTTTATCTTTTGTTGGTTTTGGCAGATACACATGGCAGATTTACTCACAGAGGCTCTTGACATTGACTGGTGTGTATGGATTCTGGAAACATGTCTCGAACCTTGACCGTCTTGAGAGCCGTCGTTACCTTGAGATGTTCTATGCTTTGAAGCTTCGCCCATTGGTATGCATTTTCTCATCTTTAAAGCCTTCTTAAACACTTTTTGGTATTGGAGAGTTTTAGCTGACTTATCTTTTGATGTTGCTTTGTGTTTTATAGGCTCAGGCTGTTCCTCTTGCTGAGGAAGATTGAAGAAGAGAGAAAAGACTTGGAACCACTAAAGAGCTTGAAGATTAGAGAGGTTCCAGTGTTTGAAGAATAAAAAAAGATCTGTTCTGATTCTTTCTATAATTCGGATTTAGGAGCGCTTTGGTGTTCCTCTGCTTCTTTGTTATTTCAATCCTTTTGTCTTTTTTTTTTTTTTGTTCCTTTGCCTCTGGCATTGCTTTGTATTCTGGCTATTGAGAGATTTCTCTGATAATTGAATGAAAATTTCGATTTTTCAATCTTCAAATTGTCTTGCACTTTTTTTTTCTTCTCAATAATCAAATATTAACATTATTCCACCATACAAACAACAAACAAGTGTGTTTATTATCTTTCCACCTTCCAAAATGACTGCTTTGACTATTATGAGATTATACTTCATGCTTATATTATGTCGTGATCATCTTGGATGAGCAGAACTGCGTCAAGATTTTTCATGAGTGCAATTACCAGAGAAGATCAAAAGTTGATAACAACTTTTTCGAACATCTTGGAGTCGTATCAAATCTTCCTTAGCGAACTGAAGAAACCCAATTCTTGGGTATGTATGGCTCAATTTTTATCACAGCTGCCGTAAAATGTGGAAATATCAACAACTATGTCGTTGTTTGACTAGCTACTAGAGCCTAGAACATATACTACCTATTGATGTAACTTCTCTTGATCATACATATACATTGGAGATAGAAATTATGAATAGGTATTTTTGACACAATTTAGATAGATCTCGAAAAATAATTCAAATGTGTTTTTTAGAAAGAAACTTTCGAAAATCAACCAGAAGTGACATTTGAACGGTTAAAATTGATGGTTGATTTCGTTCTCAGTCTCATCCACGACAGGCTCTATCGGTGGCGGGGGCCAGAGCCCGAGCCAAATTTCTTTTGAGAATTCTTTAAATAGAAAGACCCAACAAAAAGGAGTCTACTAAACAGTCTCCACAAATTCAGTTTGCCTAGGGACATATATAATTAATGTTGGTCCGGGCCTAATTTCATATTGACATGAGTTACAAAGAGTAATTCTATACCTATATACACTCACATCCACATACATTCCACTTCGTGAAATCTATGAATGTTATTGCTCTTGTGCCAAATTACATATTGTATTAAGAGTGTCATTTATCATGCAAGTGGAGAGTGACGCATAAGTCAATATATACACCAACTTGTTTCACATGTCTTTCTTGTTTGGTATGGTTGACGATGGTCGATGTCTCACATGTGTAGTGTAACAATCTTTGTAACAACAAGGAGGATTTACATGTCGATGTTATATATTATATTTGTGAAACAACATTATCAAATCAAATCATCTAAGTTGGTAGAGATTAATTGGAGGATATTATTTCTTGTGATGATTACAAATTCGGAGCATCTCTCATTTTTATAAACCTTGTGTCAGAATTATTTCTTAATTATGGTTAGTCTCTACCATTTGCATGTAACTCCGCCGTGTGATTGAAACGTATCTTGGATTTTACAAAAGATATGGTATTGTATTGATCGAGTCTCACTATGTAATAATAATTTGGAAGAAAAAATGGAAAATAATGCAGGGGTAAGTTTAGGGTTTCCGACAATTATATTTTTAATGATATAATATATTGAATAAAGACATCAACGGATCCAAAAGGGTCCTCCCTCACCAACATACACTAAGGAGGAATATAAACGGTTTATTAAGGCATTAATTATGCTCTAGGCATTGTTTTAAAATGTTTCCTCAAAACAAATGTTTTGGTTTTAATATCCAGATGCCATGCACCAACATAAAAGTGGGGAATACACATGTGTGTGCATTACCCTTTGGTTGAGGCACTTCTGAAATTAACTAAAAACTAGATATAGCTTATCGTCAAATTTATGAATAATTCAGTGTTTTAGGCTAATTATATGTATGCAATGACAGACATAAGTTATATATGCCAATGTGATGTTAGCCATTTTTGTTCAAATAGTAAAACGATCTGAAAGTAAAAATACTAAAATGTGAATCATAAGTACTCAATTGCTTTTGTACACTTAATCTAATTTCATTTAGTTTTTTTTTTTCCCATTTGAGCACCAAAACGTCCTAGCAAGGAGGAGTTTATCTTCATTCATACTTTGAAGGAGACAACCAAAGTCTCTTCAACATTTTGGCAAAGAAAATTCAGTCGTCTAAACGGTTTGTTTACGCAGAAGGTCCCATGAGATAAATGGTTCGTCTACACTCTACAGCTTGACGCTTTAGCATGTGAAGAGTCCGCCGAAAAATAAGAACTTGAAGCAATTTTATTTTATATAAAGTTATGAGTGGACTTACTCGCATCAATTTCTTCTATTTCATCTATATATGGGACTCTTCCGCCAATTTTTTCGCTCGGGGTTTTAATTAATATTATCTCTACTCTAATAAGAATAGCTTGCTAAAAACAATACACTAATTATATTATAAGTCGACGTATTAAATAATGATATTTTGGTTACATGATTAAAAAGACATTTGATGCTTTTATGCCGGCCGATTAGGATAACAATTTTTAAGTAAACAACAAAAAAGACAAATCTTCGGGAACTCACATGCTGTAACAGTAGTCGCCAATACAACGTAAATAAATATTAAATGAACTGCATAAGAGAATAATGTCGGAGTCTAGCTAGTCCAACCACAGCAAAATGACAAAAATTGCAATTTACTGTAAATTACACGCATGTTTTTGTAACATGTTATGTGTGAAGAAAAGGATGATCCTTTCTTGTAAAATAAAAATAAGCAGCAATAGTCTAGAGTATAGATAATTAGATACTAGCTAGCCAATTACATACCAAACATATCAACACTCGTAAAGCCGCTTTTGAAGTTCATGAACCATCTCCTTTAGTTGTGGGATTCATTTATTATAATTAAGTGATTACATAAAACTTATAGTTTCCTTTTCTACAGGATTTCATGTACTGAAACCAATACAAATCAAATACGTAACAAAACATAAAAAAAGTCATCCAAAATCCGCACTCGAACGCTCTTATTACCACAACGTAGTTGAGACGTTAGAATGTAATAAAACCATCATGGAGCAGTGATGTATATGGTTGACTGTGATAATAACAAAAACTTTTGGAGTGATGTGAAATACTACAATATTGCATGTTTTGATATAATGGAAAAAAAAAACTTTTGACGTGTGTGACACTCGCTTTATCTTTCTAAATTCATAATCATAATCTTTTCGAATAAATTGCCTCCGACTATAGGAAACATATTGGTTAGCTATTCAAATCGGCTGATAACCTGAGGAGTATCAATTTTATAACAAATATTTATTTAGTATAACTACTAGAAACAAATTGTATAGTTACAAATCTACCCTTATCAACGTAGTATGTATAAATACTCCATCCTCATTTCCCTCTTCAACATCGACCTATTTCTCCTTCTCTCTTTCTCTCACTCATCGTCGGTAAACACTAAACCAAACCAAACCAGAAATGGCCAAAGGAGGAGACAAACTGATGAAGCTGAAATCAGTTTTGAAGAAGCTCAATTCATTCAACACCAAGCCCAACCAGCCACCAGCTCCGGCCAATCACGTCCGGTCCTCCTCTGTGAGTGCATTTCCTTCCGAAGAACTTCACACCGTTTACGTCGGCCGAACACGGCGGCCGTACCATGTGAGCTCGGACGTCGTGAACCACCCGCTCTTCCAGCAGCTAGCGGCGGTGGATGGTGGATGCGGCGGTGATGACGGTTCGATCGCTGTCTCGTGTGAGGTTGTCTTGTTTGAGCATTTGCTTTGGATGCTTGAGAACGCCGACGCCGACGAGTCACGTCCTGAGTCGGTCCACGAACTCGTCGAGTTCTACGCCTGTTAACTCTTGTGATTAGTTTAGTTGCAATTTATATGATTGGTTTATGTTTGTATATTATATACTTTGTATACTTTACAGTCTATATTTGTTTTAAATCTACATCTTTCTCTTAAATGATACAACAACCAATAAATAAATATTTGAATGTGTAAAGTAAAGAATATTGTCTTGCAAGTGTTATATAAAAATGATGAAATTTTGTATATTAAGGATATAAAACCTACTGTAAATTTGGAATGTCAATGTTGATCAATTAATTAATTAATTTGGATACAAAAATACTCGGAGTAGGGGGGGGGGGTCAAATGATTTGACCGGGCTCTGCTGACGGCGAATTAGATCAGTCACGGTTACAATATTTCAAGTTTTATCAAGTGGTTCATTTAATTTATTGAAGATGTATAAACGCTGTAAATAAGCATAAAGTATATGCAACACAATTTTTTTGTTTGTTTGGCAACATATGCAACACAATTAGTCGATGACTGTATATTTATTTATTATATAAATAAGTTGCTTTGATAAAGTCTAGACTGGTGCGCGTCTTTCAGTCTCGCTAAAGCGATATGAATAAGAAAAATGGTACGTATAAAGACAAATCCTACATGAAATGTTCTTTTGGTCAAAGTCATGTAAGAAAATGATTTTGTTTGGTAGCATGCAGAATGAAGAGGAAGAAACGATTAATGTTTTATTTGAATGTCCATTAGCTTTTACAAAATTGGGCATTTATAATCTTTTTGTCTATGCTAGATAATTTGTGGTCGCAGTTTTTCCGTAGGTAGCCGAAATTAACATAGCTTAAAAGTAGTCAACAGTATATATTGGATTTTTCTATAGTTTATATGGAAAAACCGATTTTTATTTTAAAGAATTGGATCACGGAACCACCATATATACATGGTTGACCATGCTATATATGATTGTATGTATCCCAAAGGACATGATTTCAAGGGTTTTCAAAAGTTAGACGATCGCTCTACGAATTTGCCTATCCGTAGTATTTCCGTTCCCGCCAATCTGTTTGATCAAAGTAAATAAAATCCAAACTAGTATACTATTGAGTTGTCCCCACATGACCAAGCTTATAAGAACATTGTCGCGTGTGAACACAATTTGACTGTATAGACTGAGCAACATATAGACTACATATTCACAGTTGATCGATTTGACAAGAATTGGTCGTGTCTGGTTATTAATATCTGAGGTGTATATGGATTGTTGGATCACGATCAACTGTACTACATTGATCGATTTGATCTTGTAACTTTAATATACAGTTTGTAGTAGTGTTGATGTTATTTTTGTTGCAACATTTAGTACAACAGAGGAGAAAAAGAGAAATGTACACATTTTTTAGTACAAGAGTTTATATTTTTTTATTAATCTCGTATCACACTTCCACCACCAAATCCTTTCACATCTAACATACATGTCCTAGAAACTTAAATCATCCTTGAAAAATAATGGAGAATTAAGAAGAAGAAAAAACCAGGAAAATACAAAGATAGCCTGATTTTACAATTACACCCCAAAGTCATCATCCCTAACAATTTCCATCAAATAATAAAATTGAAGGATATAATAATAATAATAATCACAATAACAAAAGAAAAGTTTTAAGAGTTTTTATCACTTGATTTGTATTTACTCTTCCTTTGCTGCTTCTGCATCTCCAACTGCAAAGACAAGACAAAATCATCAGTGACTAGTTTCTCAAGAGTCATCATAAGACTAGGATGTTACTATTGTCCTAACGGGGACGGCCCGGCCCACTTTAAACCCAGTAGGTTTCTCAAGAGTCATCATCATAACAACAATGTCATGATTTAAACTCTAGAGAAGAGCTTACCGGAGCTGTCATCATCAGGGAGATGATCTTTAGGATTGTTCTCCATGCATTTAAGCAAGAACTTGAAAGTCTCGACCTCGCAAGGGATGGTGAGAGCGCCGCTCTGATCAAACCCATACTCTTCCTCTACTTTCTCAAGCAACACCTTGAACAGAGAGTGGCTGAGATAGCTTGTTGGTATGATAAACCTCCTTAGCTCCGGTCCAACGTAAACCGCTAGATACCCTTTGGGAACATCAGCCGGAGGCTCGGGGCTTTGGCAGTTTTCCTCATCCGAGTCACAGTTCTTGACGGCTAACAGCCTCTTGTTGATCACCGGTGAAATCAATTCCGCCGCTTGCTTTCCAGCTGCCAACGGAGGGACATCTGATTTGGGCCCTATCGTTACGGTTTGCCATTTCTGCAAGATCTCCTTCAGCCGCACGATCTGCCTGATTCCGGTTAACTTTGCGGCGTTGTTTTCATCCATCTAGTATGATGATAGTGTAAAACCCGCAACGTTTTCGTTAATGAGAGATCAAATGTCTCATAAGATCTTCTTCCCTTGTAGCTGCATTACAAACATCACAAACAGTTGGTCAAACACGATAAAACGTTACGTAATTGTTTTGTGACTCAATCGTATCAAAAGAAAGGATTAGTCAAACACGTTTATGCAAATATTAACAAAAAACTGTCACAGGACAAAATGCTATGCAATGGTCGCATTCACAAAACTAGAGAATGAAACTTGTAAAGACAGAAATAAAAATCAGTTTAACCAGCTGTAAATCCCCTAGCTCCTGGACAAATATTTTGTCCAAAAAAATAGATTAGAAAATATATTATCATCAACCAAAACAGAGGACCCACATCCACACAGAAGCAGGAGTCCCAAGCCGTCGTTTTCAAAGGTATATTTTCATAGATTCGTTGCAAAATCCTAAATATTATAGTCAAATTCTTATGAGCATGGAATTTGCAACACAAAGGCCTAGATGTAACCGAAACATAATAGATCAATTACAAGAACATCAACCCTAAGTTTTTATTTACAGTTTCCCTCACTTTTCTTTTTTCTTTTACTAGCAAACTCAACAGATCCACCTATAACGCACGAGGCTCACGGTAAAAAAGGTTGAATCCAGATTAGATCAGGATCTATTAAAACCCATCAAAGAACATATATGGATGTACATTATAGTAATTACCTGAAGAGGAAAACGAATTGAATCACTCTTAGCTATGGACCCGATGAGGAGGAGGAACACCATGCAAACAAACAAAGAAAAAGAGGAAGGAGCTCCCAAAGATTTGTTTCTTTTTTTCTGTCGCTTCGTTCTTTTTTTAGGTTTTTTCTGTTCGAAGATTGGGAGCTCAAACGATATGATGAGGAAGAGATGTTTTCAAGTAAAAACTAAAAAAAACAAACAAAAACAAAAAATATCAAAAATTAAAAATTAATAGAATCTAAAATATTGGTGGGGCAAAAAAACGAATAGAGAAGCGAATTTTGGGAGATCAGAAATCGAGGATTGGCTTTTTTTGGATTTATAGTTTTCACTGATTCTCGCGTAAAAGATTTTTTGTTTGCTTTCCCGTCACTTTCGCCTTTTTCAGGTTCTTCTGTTTTCTCACGTTCTCTCCGCCGAAAGTTGAGCTTATTACATTATGACCCCGATACTCTCAATTGATCACCGACTTATCTCTTCATTAAGGTGATCATATTTTAAACAAAATATTAGTACTCTATATATCTGCAAAGAATTATATCATTGTGAGTGTGACAATTAAATATGACGTGATTTGGTGGAGTTTTAAGTTTTAACAAAGAAAATGTTCTTCTGTTTCCCATCTTTAAAACCCATTTTTATTCAGTCTTATTCTAAAAATTTAGCAGAGAGTTGTAATTAAAATCTTCAACTCATATGTTTTAAGTACTAGGGAATATGTGGGTTATAAACTAAATGATAATTCTTTTATCCATTGGTTCATGAATGTTAATTCTTTTATCCATTGACATTGTTTCATCCGTCAAGAACCAAGTAATATCACGTTCATCCGAGACCAGTTTCTTTTTTCTCAACTCTAGGCTCTTTGATCCGGTTAGATGCCAACATCTTTATTTGTTATAATTTCTGACGGTGCAACCAAATGAGAAAGAACATTTTAAGCATATATACGTATGTTTTACAGGTCTCATAAATGAAAGATGCATTTTGAGCAAGAAAAGAATAAGAATAAATGATTTTTGCAAGTCTTTCCATGAATATGACCCTTATATATTGAAGCTAATCAAAGATCATCCAAACCGTCTTATCATATCATCCTCAAAATTGGCGGCAATAATAACACAAACCAACAAAAGCAAAAAGGAATAGAAGAGGACAGGAAAGGCGAAAGGAGAGTTGTGACAAACCAGTGACCACAAACAAGTAGCTAGCAATTGTCAGCCAAAACAATCAAGACCAAAGAGTTTCATCGGCGTCCGTCTACCATAATTTTTCTTCTTTTTCATTTTTCAATTTTTTTTCATTTATTTACTTATAATTTTTTAAAAATATAAAAAGACTCTTTATCTTAAACTTATATAATATGATGATGGACGAACATCCTCCACCTAGTATTTTAATTCTATCGGTCATGCACACAATCGTAAGCAGAAAAGACAGCCGTGTACTCTAAATAGTTTAGATAAAAAAAAGAAGTATATTAGTTTGTTATTTTTTGGGGTCCAAACTCAACCATTTGGTATCATACGTATACTATAGTAAGTTGTTTATTACAGTATTTAATTTGGAAGACCAACCGATTGGAATAAGTATTTGGCTGTCCGCATCTTCCTTCAACACAAAGCATCTTCGTCCTCGATTCTCAGCATCTACGAAAGATTCATACTTCCACTTGACCAGATCCAACGGCTTAGCTTTCATTTTTCTTTCCACACGACCCATCATTTCACTTGATCTCCATCCGACGGTCCAGATTTGATCTCTGCTTCTCTCTCTTCCCTCGTTTATATATCCACTTAATCATTCACCTCTTTGCTCATCGGCATTTCAAAAGGCAAAAATCAATAACTAAAGAGAGAGAGAAATATGGCGACCTTGGATTCACCATTAGAGGCGTTGGCTTTCGAATACGCTAGCTTCGGTGTTCTCGCCGTGGTCAACAACGTCTGGACATGGATCGCCGTCGTGACAGCCGCCGTCAGCTTCTGGAGGATCCGAGTCACCACCACTATCGAAGTCGTCGACGGCAATGGATGTGGCTTGTTGGAGGAGCTATCCGGCTCGAAATCGGTACAAGAATGCATTCATCTTGAACCGCAAGAAATGGCTGGTCCGGCGAAAGACACGGCGGCTAAAGTGAAGGAAACGGTTAAGAAAACGAAGGTTTGGGAGCCGTTGATGTGCGATGACGGAGTGACGAAAGGGAAGCTGACGATGCACTACTACGAGGAAGACGTTGACGGAGGGAGGCGTGCTGAGAGTGACGGAGAGTTAACGACCGTTAACTATGGAGGAGGTTTGGGTAATTGCGGGGAGTGGTGGGAGAAATGGGAAAGAGTGTTGAAGATGAGAAACGGTGAGGATGAAGGTTGGTACCGTTACGTGGATTTAACGGTGATCAATGGAAGTGTCGTAAGGTTATGGGATGATAACGGAACCCGTAACGGCGGCAGGTGTCTACATTAGATAATATTTCGCTTTTAGAATATTTATCCTTTAAATCTTCTTGGTTTAAACTCAAATTGTATTTTTTGGTCGATCAAGTTATAATTTGTACATAATTTTTCCCCCACAAGACAAAGAAGGCTTTGAATAAGAGAAAATCAATATCAAATGTTGCTTCCGAGCACTGTGTCGAAAGATAACCGCATAACCACTTCCTTTAGTGTAGTGTTTGAATGACGATCAATCAAAGAGTGAGAATATAAAACTGAAAAAACATATAACGAGTTAGCGCATGCATCTAATTTTATGCCGCTATTCCTGACCAATAATGATAGTTTTTATCTATTTTTGTATTGCTATCTGTTACCATATTAATTTTATCTATTATGTCAAGTGATATTATTGGTAATAAAAATACATTACGGCCTCATATCATCATCAATCCAATCCAACATGTCATTTTAGTTATATATCGTGAAGTCGGGATAAGGGTCAAATATTTGGGCACAATATGTCAAGATTGTTAGGCCCATCCAAAACTTGACTACTCGCATATACTTTATTGGCCCATTCAAAGCTGACTGTGCCCACGTATTTGTTCGTGTTGGTAAACACAGCTTATCAAATGTTTTGAAGACTTTGGAGAGAAATAAATAAAAATTATTAAGAGTTTCAATTTATTTAAGGAGTAGGGAAATAAAATCAAATGTTTAGGAAATAGTTCAAGTACCATGCGTTTTTTTAAGTTAAAGTATTGATAAATCCCACTACCATTACCATTACTTAGAAGATAAATTGCATCATAAACTTACTACTCATACAAATAAACTTAGTACATACTCATGAGTCATAACACAAATTTACTACACAGAACACGCCTCATGATACAAATTATAACTAGTTCAAAAGACAAAGGCAAACACAAAATGTGGCTACTACAGATTGAGTTGAGAGGTGTCGAGGTGCAAGCAACCATGGAAGTATGGAACTTACTGCCACGCATACTGCTAAGACAATAGTCAAATGTATGTTTTTACACATTGGTAGTGATTTATAAATGATTCTCGAGATAAGGAAAAGAAAAAAAAAAACATACGAGGATGGGACATTTTCTACAAAGTAGGTCCTTTTTTTTTTCAATTTGGTATATCTCTGCCTTCTTTTTCATTTGTGCTGCAAGGTAAACCTCGTTCGGTTATTAGAGGCAAAACTTTGGCATAGTTTGGTGTTATTTTGATTGATCAAGGGTATATGCAGTTTGTTTTCAAACTCAATTTCAGGATATGAATTTGAACTAAACTGAATTAAATTCTATTCGTTTGGAATCGTACATAGAAATCCACTCTCCAATGATAAAAGACTCGAGCAAAAGAAATGGCACATAAAGATTTTGTCTCTGAAACCTCTTTTGTCAATTCATAACGAAATGTGGACCCTATTTTCTGAACCCCTCTTTTGATATATAATTGGGCACTCGTTACCAGTCGGCCAATAATTTCACATATTTTGTTCTTTATCGTATTGTTACTTAAGTATAAATTATTATCATTCACATTTTTCATTTTTGTGAATAATTTATGTATGTGCATTGGACAGTCTTTCATTTATCGCTGGACTCGCTACACTCTGTTCTGTAATTTGCGGTGCATTTAATTTTCCAGATTTTCCCCCCATAATCCAGAGGTGGCTGCATTCACCATCCTACCCCTAATCTCTGCACGTACACACGTAAACAAAGGAAATATCCGAGGGTAACAAAGTAAATAAACATGAACAGTACACTAATGTTCCAAGGACCTACGACTTTAAATTCTTACCCACCAGTCACAACTCTCCTTACACAGAGATAGCCCTAAATTTGGTTTCTCACTTTAGTTTAAGAGGCGAGAGAAAAAATAAATGGCTCCTCCACAGAAGCTCTTCTTCGCCGCCATTGTCGTTGCCGTCATTGTATCCGCCATCACCGGACGTGAAGATATCGTACATTCCTCTTGCGAGCACGCGAGCTACCCATCGCTATGCGTCCGTACGCTCTCAACTTACTCTGGTCCAACCATCACCAACCGTCGTGATATAGCTCAAGCCGCCGTCAGAATAAGCCTCTCCCACGCTCAAAGCGCAGCCAAGAAACTCGCGGCGGTGCGAGAAACTGTAGGGAAGAAACGCGAGAAAGCGGCGGTTGTGGACTGCGTTGAGATGATTGCGGATTCGGTGGACGAGCTGAGCCGTACGCTCGGCGTTTTGAAGCATCTTCGCGTTACGGGCGGTTCCGGTAAAGAGTTCCGGTGGCAGATGAGCAACGCTCAGACGTGGGCAAGCGCGGCGTTGACGGACGACGACACGTGTCTCGACGGGTTTCAAGGGATCGACGGTGATGTCAAGACGGAGGTGAAACAGTGGATGACGAAAGTTGCGAGGGTAACGAGCAACGCGCTCTACATGATCAACCAACTTGATGAGACACGTGGCAAGCCCCACGTCGTACTTTCTTGATGTTGTGAACTTGTAATAATGCGCGCTCGTTCTAATGGACGGTCCTGATTCTGTGTTTAGTTATTTTTTTTTTCGTTTTTGTTGGTCAAGAGTGTGTTAGTTTCCGTTTGTCTGTTTTAAATGCAAGATATCTACTATATAAAGAAGAGAGTTTTTGAAATTAGTTAATGTATGTTTTAAGTAGTTCTCTCATAATGGTAAATTACATTAAATGTTTTTTTCTTTTGGTCCGGTATGTCACTAATATCGTATCATAGTTCCGTTCGGATTCGAGCACGTGATTTTGTCTTAATATGAAACAGAAATCAGATTTCTAAAAGACTGATAAACTGACGTAGCGGAAATCAAAAAAATGTTATTGCCCATTACTTGCAATTGTAAACTATATACATACAATTTTTTTTTTTCCCCGTCAACAACTCCCACACGCAATTACGCAAGCTATTGAAATTGAAGTACATAGCGCCATAGCAGTACTAATAAATAAAAACAGAATTTCTGATGTTAAAAAAAAAGAAAAAATTAAGTTCTTTGTTACATCAGTACATCACTAAATGGAAGATGAGATACAATAATGGGCCTCAAGAACAAGAATGGGCCTATATTGTCACCAATTCATGAACACTAATATGAAGTGTCGGGGGACAGACCAAACTTTTATTTAGTGCCATCATGTGGAAATGCATGTACCGATTAATACATGCATGAATTCATCATTTCTAACTTTTAATATGCTTATTAAACAATACGATCTCATCGAAAGAGTTGGCACGCGTTTCAGTTGGTAAAATTTGAAATGTCTTAGCGGTTGGTGAAGGTTGAAATGGGCAGCTAGGTAAAGGAAAATTAGCTGTCTATAAGTTCTTGTCTCGCCGAGGAGGTGGAAGAAAGATAGATAGGTTTTTGCTCGATAAAGGGAAGATTAATATCTTGCCCCACTGGTGCAAAGAATCGCTCCACCACCTTAATATTCAGGGTCATCCCAATGTTCTCGGAGGCCCTAATCGAAGATAGAAATTGTGTTCCTTTTATTTATTATCCAAACTCATAAATAATAGTAACATGGTTATGGAAAGAGCCTCCTTGAATCGGCCCACCACCTTAATAATCATATGTCGACAGGCGCACCAAATAGATAGATATGTCTTGAAATTACCAATAGAATATGTTACAGCTAAGAAATTGCCTTGAAGTTTTGTAAGTACAAGGAGACAGAATTGAAAGGCAGAAAGAAGAAGACAAATTAATTAAAACAAAGAAGACCGATTGAAGAAAACAAAATTGGACTAATTTTAAAATAAGCTATCGTACGTTCAACCTACAAGAACAAAGTCGAGCTGTATCCATGACTATGATTGGAGCCGTCTTGCCAGGATAAATCCTTTGACAGTGGAACTAATATTCTGATCATCAATAGTCGAGATGAAGAATAAAAAGTTGAGAATACCATCGTCGATAGGGAGGAGTAAATTTTTCTTTACTCTCGGTATCGTTTCTTTTCTGTTTGTAGTTGTTTATGTGTGAGTAACGAAAATAAAGTTTGAGTACATTGCTTCAATAATTTTCAAAACAAACAAAATTTCTTAACTCCAAGATGGAGTTAAATTTCTCTCCATTGTAGTATTCAATTGTCTGATATATAATCACAATGTCAATGATAAATGTGAATCTTAAATTAAACAGCTGCATATATAGTTGGTGAATTTAGTTAAAAAAATTGTTTGCGCTAATCGATTTTTTTTTTCTTGGCAAGGTTGGGAAATGTATTTTATGTTAATAGTAACAGATTTGACTAATCAATCCAAGTCCACTGTGAAAGAAATTTCGCAAACCAGCTCATGCCACTAAACAACAATGTAAAATGGGGTGTGAGTGCGACCACGTCAGGTGGGATTTGCCGTGAGAGGCCCTTCTCTATTTCTGTTCTTGATCCATCCTTTAGAATATTTTGCCCACTTATCTTCTTTTCCCTTAATAATTTATCTTTCCAAAAAACATTACAGTATTAAGTATTTCCCTCTTGATTGTATGTTTTGTTTCCCTATATAACAATAACTTATAAAAATTATATACTAACCTAATTACTTATCAACTATAGTGGAGTTTTCACTGTGGAGGTTGTGGTGGAAGCGTATTACATACGATGAGTGAGGTTTAGGACCTTTCGGTTATTGAGATTTCTGATTTCTTAACGAAGAACTAATTAAGGTTCACATATCCAAATACTAAGTAACAATACTTTGTGTGTAAGAGAAATTGTGAACAAAATATGAAATAATAGTTGGGTGTTATTTTCAGCCTCAAAATCCCTAACTTCATAAGGCCCCACCTTAATCCAATCTCCAAACGTCTGTCTTCACGCATTCATTGCTCAGGGACATCATGTCGCTGCCACTTATTTGAATTTACATCCATGCATACATATATACCTCCACTTTTTTATAAATATGTGTGCATTTATGAGTTTATATAGAATTTTTAGTAGTATTTGTTTATTAATAAACCTTTTTTGTCGAATCGAAACGAAATCTTAAACTAGTAAAGAAGTCCGTAAAATAAATCGGTTTTACTCAGAGCCACAACAAAGGCCTTACACAGTTACAGTACTCCTATCCTTGTTATTTCGCAAGCTTGACCGAGAAATTTGGAACAACATTTCAGCCAATTCCACACATCTCTCTAACAATTGGCTTTCGAGTTTCGATTATTGTTATCTTATGGTTTTATTTATTAAACTAGAGCCTCTTTTCTTATTGCTGCAAACTCTCTACATTCTTTTGTAAATCGAGCTTTGTCATTTAACCCAAAAAACAAAATCTATTTTTGCCATTAAAATTGTACTCTTTGGACTTTCTAATTCTCTTTGTTTTGTCAACTTATTTTTTTGTTTGTTAAACATGGTTAACCAAACCCGAATATAAGAAAGTTTACATACATCTACAGAGTGAGAAGTAGTGCTACAAGCCAAGCAATACACCTTACCATTCAGAATGCGTAAAATGTAAGAAATAGAGAGAAAAACTGGTTTTTAGCCTGAAAATAAATATTGGAAGTATCACCTAATTGAGTATTTGACTGAACGAACATATTAGTTTATTAACCGGACGTATGGCTTAAAACAACCTATTCAGACGATTGAGAATGGAGGTTCATAGACACTAGATATTTTAGCTGCTAAATTTGTAAAAGAGTAAATGATTTCTATTATTCTCACCTAAAGAAAGACCAAGAATGAGAGAGGAAAAAGAGAACAAACGAAAAAAGGAGAGGAAGTGATCGCGGAAGACGTACATCTCGACCTTTTTTTATATCAAAAGAAGATTCACCGTACCAACAATTTGAGATTCAGGAGAAAGTTCAAAAATAGTGAATGCATGTTACTTACATTCATATTTTTTTTGTTTTCCAACCTGGACCCTTCAATGTAATTTAAACATAGTTTAATTAATAAGAGACATGAATGTGCCACCCAACATCTAAATCCTAAGATTGGTATTTATTTTCTATCTCATCTTTGTTCTTTCTACACACACAAAATCACTGAAAACTCTGAATCTATCTTGTAACCAAAGTAAAAAAAAAAAACTCATATCATTGTATCCCATGTTATGTAGCTTGTAAATTGTAATGCGTTGACTCCTCTGACAGTCCCGTATGTGGACGTTGATACACTAATATTTGAAGTGAAATTAGTATTCTTTTTCTTACATAACCTTACTGAAAAATGTTATCAAAGTTTCACTAATCATAAATAAAAAAACAATACTAAATATACTTTTAGAGGACAGTATTGTTTTTCTTGTTTTCCCCTGATAAAGTATACTTTTAGAGGACAATAATAACATTAAGAAATTTATCGTGGCCAGTTTGCGAGTGAATATGTCGGCTCGTAAGCATTAGTATTAAATAAAATTTACAAAATAAATATCCCCAAAATTGAGAAGGAAAAAGAAAAGAAAAAGAAAAAATAAAAGAGGAAGAAGAAAAAGCTATTCCTGTGCTTTTGCAGAGACCTTTTGGTAGTTGTCCTGGTCGCTGATCATCCCTTTCCGACAACTCTGATGGTCTTTCTCTCCCGTTTGAGCTCTCTGTCATAATCTCCTGCTCCTCGATTTTCTTTCCCTCTTCCTCCGTTTTGTTCTCTGTTTCGATTCTCTCCCCATTTCCCAGATTTCTTTTTATAGAAACCCGTCTCTAATACCAACCCTCTTGATGCGCCAAGAAAGGAAAGCAGAAAGAGTAGCTGAGTCAAACTAACTTCTGGTTTTCGGTTTCTGGGTTCTCGGAATTATCTGGCGCGAGTTAAAGAGCTTCGTTGAAAAAACCGAATCTTTCTTCGTTTTGTCTCGGTCTTGTGACTTATTGGTCTCTCCGGAGATTCCGCGTGTGAAAAAAGTCGTAGCTTTGTAATCTCTCTGAGCTAATTAAACTTTCCGAGAAGTTGGAGGCTCTGTCGGAGTTAGAAAGCAGAGATCTTGAAGTTCCCAGTTTCAGATTATTTCTACAGATTAACGATTTCTCCATTCTTTGGTCACTTGGATTGTGAAGAAGTGGAGCTAGAAAGCTCCTTGTTTCCGTTCCGATTGAGCTGGGGATAAAGTTTAGTGATTTTTGGTCTAAGCTTGAAGATGAAGCTCTCACGCAAAGAGCTCAGCTTTGTATAAGCTCAGATTCAGATTATTATTCGGTGTTCAGAGAAATTTAGGAGTGAATTTCAGTGATCATGAAAACTCCTTCTTCAAATGGAGCTTCTCCGAATCCCGCAGAAGGTTTGTGCTTTCTCTTATCTGATAAATGTCAATCCTTTAGTAGAAACTCATGACTGGATTAGGTATATTCTGTTTTACATGGGCACTTGAATTGTGTTGCTTTTGCTCATTTTCTGCTTTAAAAGTAAGTTAGTTTTCTGTTGTTGTGCAAAGTTGGGATCCAAGGCTGTGCCTTTTAGTTTGTGGAGTGTAGAGCAGTTTTCCTATCTTGTTGTTTTGATAGTTGTAACTGAAGGAAGACTTCAGAGATTTGAAGTAATCGCAGATTTGATTTTGTGTGAGTGCAGGAGAAAGGAGAAACATAAACTCAGAGTTATGGCACGCTTGTGCTGGGCCACTGATTTCGTTGCCTCCAGCGGGAAGTCTTGTTGTTTACTTCCCTCAAGGTCACAGCGAGCAAGTATGTTTGTTCTATAAAGTTCGATATTATTCAAGACTGATCAAGAATGAGTCTCTGATTGGATATTTCACGTGGCTGTTCTATTGTCTTAGGTCGCAGCTTCAATGCAGAAGCAGACTGATTTCATACCGAGCTACCCGAATCTTCCTTCCAAGCTCATCTGCATGCTCCACAATGTTACATTGAATGTATGGTATCAATAAAATGGCCTCTATGTTTAAATATTTAAACATTGGTTTGCTTTTGAGTTGCTAATGTCTTTGCTAAATGTCAATTGTAAACCAGGCTGATCCTGAGACGGATGAGGTCTATGCTCAGATGACTCTTCAGCCAGTAAACAAAGTAGGTTACTTATCACTGAGTAACTCAGTTTTATGTGTGACTGAGGAGTAGAGACTAACTGTTCTGAGGATTTTGTTTGAACAGTATGACAGAGATGCACTGCTTGCCTCAGACATGGGTCTTAAGATCAACAGACAACCTAATGAGTTTTTCTGCAAAACCCTCACGGCGAGTGACACAAGCACTCACGGTGGATTTTCTGTACCCCGAAGAGCAGCTGAGAAAATCTTTCCTGCTCTGGTGTATATACAATGCTCTCTTTTATATATCTCTACTTCTTGATGGTTAGGATCTCTTTATTGCCTTGGCTTCTTACATTGTTTGCAATATACTGTTAGGATTTCTCCATGCAACCTCCTTGTCAAGAGCTTGTTGCTAAGGATATTCACGACAACACATGGACTTTCAGACATATTTATCGAGGTTATTCATTATTCTTCTTAGGTTGATCATCTCATTCAATCATTTTGGCTTTTATAAAACTGTTCTTCTGTTTTGGATTTGTTAAATATTCATCAGGTCAACCAAAAAGGCATCTGCTGACTACAGGATGGAGTGTGTTTGTCAGCACGAAAAGGCTCTTTGCGGGAGACTCTGTTCTTTTTATAAGGTATATCAAATCTCAATGTGCCATTGCTACTCTTTGGATATTTATCTTGTCAGGATGTTGACTCTTTTTTTCACTTTCAATTAAGAGATGGAAAAGCGCAACTTATGTTGGGTATAAGACGTGCAAATAGACAACAGCCTGCGCTTTCTTCATCTGTAATATCAAGCGATAGCATGCACATTGGAGTTCTTGCTGCTGCAGCTCATGCTAATGCTAATAACAGTCCTTTCACCATTTTCTACAATCCGAGGTGGCTCATCTATGTTTCCCTTTGCCTCCATTAACATTACTAAACACTTGTTTCATGCCTATTGCTGAGAGATTACAATCTTGCAGGGCTGCTCCTGCTGAGTTTGTGGTTCCTTTAGCCAAGTATACCAAAGCTATGTACGCTCAGGTTTCCCTCGGTATGCGGTTTAGGATGATATTTGAGACGGAAGAATGCGGAGTTCGTAGGTATATGGGTACAGTTACCGGTATCAGTGATCTTGATCCAGTGAGATGGAAAAGCTCTCAGTGGCGGAATCTTCAGGTAGTTTTGAAATAAAACTCATGATGAATGATGCCAAATTTGTTTTTCTTGCTACATTTCACCATTCATGTTAGTTATGCATTGCTTTTTATTTCTGCTAAAGATTGGATGGGATGAGTCGGCTGCTGGTGATAGGCCCAGTCGAGTTTCAGTTTGGGACATTGAACCGGTTTTAACTCCTTTCTACATATGTCCTCCTCCATTTTTCCGACCTCGGTTTGGTGGACAACCGGGAATGCCAGGTAACAAATCTTTGTACTGTTACATTTCTACACAACAATATCTCTGAATCTCCTCTGAGACTGAAGTTCTTGTGGTCTTGCAGATGATGAGAATGACATGGAGTCTGCGCTGAAGAGAGCAATGCCATGGCTTGATAGTAGCTTAGAGATGAAAGACTCATCGAGTACGATATTTCCTGGTCTGAGTTTGGTTCAGTGGATGAATATGCAGCAGCAGAACGGCCAGTTACCCGCTGGTGCTGGTGCTGCTGCTGCACAGTCTGGTTTCTTCCCGTCAATGCTCTCTCCAGCCTCGGCGATGCACAACAATCTTGGCGGCGCTGACGATCCCTCCAAGTTACTGAGCTTTCAGATGCCGTCAGGAGGGATTTCCTCATCAAACCTCCAGTTTAACAAACCGAACCAGCAAGCTCCAATGTCCCAGTTGCCTCAGCCACCAACTACTTTGTCCCAACAACAGCAGCTGCAGCAATTGCTGCATTCCTCTTTGAACCATCAGCAACAGCAATCGCAGTCTCAACAACAACAACAACAATCGCTGCAGCAACAACATCAACAACCGCTACAGCAACAGAGTCAGCAGCTACAACAGCAACAGAGCCAGCAGCTACAACAGCAACAGCAGCAGCAGCAGCTAAGAACACAGTCATTGCAATCTCATTCGCATCCACAGCCACAGCCACAACAGTTACAACCACACAAGTTGCAGCAATTTCAGCTTCCTCAGAATCAGCTTTATAATGGTCAACAAGCAACGCAGCAGCTTCAGGCACAACAAGCGTCTATGCATCATTTGCAACCACAAGTAGTTTCAGGATCAATGGCAAGCAGTGTCAACGCGCCTTCTTCTAGCTCCATTAATCACAGCTTTCAACAGCAACAACAGTCAACACAGCTTCAACACACACATCGCCATTTAGGTGCTAGTACTAGCCAGAGTAGTGTAATTGAAACCACCAAGGCTTCATCTAATATGATGTCCATACCGCCTCAAGACACACAGTTTCCACGACAAGTAGAACAACAGCAGCCTCCTGGTCTTGTCAAGGGACAAAATCAGCAAACGCCTATGCAGCAGAAATCTCAACAACAGATATTCCAGCAAAGTCTCTTGGAACAACCGCATTTACAGTTTCAGCTGCTGCAGAGATTACAGCAGCAGCAGCAGCAACAGCAACAACAGCAGCAATTTCTTTCTCCAGGAAGCTCAAGTTTGCAGTCTCAGATACTGCACCAACAGTTGCAAAGCCAGCAGCTGCAACAGATGCCTTCTCTCTCACAAGGTCAGCAGCAGTTTCCGTCGTCCTGCACTAACAATGGTTTATCGACGTTGCAACCGCCTCAAATGCTGGTGAGCCGGCCTCAGGACAAACAAAACCAACCGGTTGTTGGAGGGGTCAAAGCTTATTCAGCCATCACAGATGGAGGAGATGCACCTTCCTCTTCAACCTCGCCTTCCACCAACAACTGCCAGATCTCTTCCTCAACCTTTCTCAACAGAACGCAAAGCGGGCCAGCAATCTTGATACCTGATCCATCGGTTGATATCTCTGGTAATCTTGTTCAGGATCTTTACAGCAAATCCGACATGCGGCTAAAACCAGATCTCGTGAGCCAGCAAAAGTCCAAAGCTAGTTTAACAGATCATCATCAACTAGAAGCATCCGCCTCTGGAACTTCTTACGGTTTAGATGGCGGCGACAACAACAGACAACAGAACTTCTTGGCTCCAACCTTTGGCCTTGACAGTGATTCCAGAAACAGCTTGCTAGGTGGAGCTAATGTCGATAATGGCTTTGTGCCTGACACGTTGCTCTCCAGGGGATACGACTCCCAGAAAGATCTCCAGAACATGCTTTCAAACTATGGAGGAGTGACAAATGACATTGGTACAGAGATGTCTACTTCAGCTGTAAGAACGCAATCTTTCGGTATCCCGAATGTTCCCGCCATCTCAAACGATGTAGCTGTCAACGATGCTGGAGTTCTTGGTGGCGGATTGTGGCCAACTCAGGCTCAACGGATGCGGACTTATACAAAGGTTCGGTTTTGCTATGATCCCTCCTTGTAGAAATTTGGGATTATGTTTTTGGTTTTGACAAATTTGTGCATTTTCTTGACAGGTGCAAAAGCGAGGTTCAGTGGGGAGGTCAATAGACGTCAACCGTTACAGAGGTTACGATGAGCTGAGGCATGATCTAGCACGCATGTTTGGGATTGAAGGACAGCTTGAAGATCCTCAAACATCAGACTGGAAACTTGTCTATGTTGATCATGAGAACGACATCCTTCTCGTTGGTGATGATCCATGGGAGTAAGTAGAGAGAGCAATTACATTCACACATCAAACCGTTTGAAAGTTCCATTCTCTTTTTCATAACCTTTAGAAAATCTTTGATTCTGGCAGGGAATTCGTAAACTGTGTTCAGAGCATAAAGATTCTTTCATCAGCTGAGGTTCAACAGATGAGCTTGGACGGAAACTTTGCGGGTGTACCGGTTACTAATCAAGCATGCAGCGGCGGGGACAGTGGCAATGCTTGGAGAGGGCATTATGATGATAACTCTGCCACCTCGTTTAACCGGTGAAAGCAGAAGATTTCTCAAGAGTCAAAGATTCTTTCTTTTTTCTTTTGTTTTGTATTATAACTTCTCTTTTGATAACATGTCTCAAGTTTCCACTGGGCACTGTAGAGAGCATTTACCTGTAAAATATCTTCCACTAAGTTTTACATGAAGATTTTATTTTGATGGATGCCACAGATTCTACGAACTGATGAACTGAAACCACTTGTAAGCAAATTGGAAAGAGAATGGAAGCCGCTGAATCAGGAATTAAACAACAATCACATTTTAAAAACTCAAGTCTTTTATTGCAGATCATGGCTCAGGCCGTCTATGAAAAAATTTCCACATTTGGGATACAAGTTACAAAGGATATAAACTAAGAAAGGATAGCCATCACATCTGAAGCTCTAAGGGCAATGTAGTTGGAGCCATCTTTGGCCTTGAAGTCGTTACCAGCATACTTGGAGTAAAGGACTGTGCTTCCAGTCGATATTGGTAGCGGCTGAAGCTTACCCTCCTCGTCTAGAGAACCTGGTCCAACTGCTATCACCTGCCACAAATTGAAGAGAAGATTGAGTGTTATTTGGACTTGTTAATGAAATGAGCACACATGAAGCTACTAAGAGTGTCTTGTTCGCTTACCGTGCCAATAGAGGGCTTCTCTTTGGTAGTCTCGGTCAGCAACAACCCTCCAGCTGTTTTCTCCTCTGCCTCAGCAACCTAAACTCGAAACAAAAACTCCTCTTGTTACTATCACTGTTCTTGCGTGGACAAAGACCAAGATGATTAAGAAGAGCAGAAGAGGCAGACCTTAATAAAGACTCGGTCGTTCAAGGGCTTGAGATCTTTGATGTCCTCTGTCTCAAGAAGGCCAACAATGTCATCTTCCTTGAGGATGAGATGCTTCACATCGTTGAACTCCACCTCAGTTCCTGCGTATTTGGAGTAAATAATTTGTGCTCCGGTCTGCATCAGGAGAGTAAAAAGGCATCTCAGATACTGTTTATCAGAAGACCACAAAGCGAATGAAGCAAAAGAGAGCTTGAGAGAGGCAATTACATACAGGGACTTTGATATCAATTTTGGTCTTCCCAATGGTTCTTCCTTCACCAACAGCAACCACTTCACCTCCTTGAGGTTTTGACTGAGCTGTGGATGGGAGTAAGATACCTCCCATAGTCTTTTCCTCTGCCTCCTTGATCTTCACCAACACTCTATCTCCCAATGGCTTAATCGTAGTATACTGTAATTAACCATATGCAAGACAAAAGAGAGACATTTATTGGTTACACAAACAGATAGGTGACAAACGAATTGGTGAGCCACACAAACAGCAATCCAAGATTCAGATAAGTTCCACAAGATCAATCAAAAACTGTGTATTCAAGACCAACAAAGAAACAACAATGAATCGAATCAAGGAATTGAGCAAAGTAAGTACCTTTGGAGCAACGACAGAAGCAGCTCTGACCACCAAAGGACGGAAGTGGCTCTGCCTAAGGGCTCCTGGTTTCAAGGTTCCGAAAGAAGAAAACTTGGCACTCGAAGCTCTGAGACCTTCCAGTGAGGCTAAGCTCCTAGCTGACACAGTCACTGGTGATGCTGTGAGTTGCGTCGCCGCCATTTCTGCTATCCGTCAGACAAACACATAAAACTCTCAATTAGCAGGAAATGAGATATATATATATATATATATATAGAGAGAGAGAGAGATAAATAAGCAGAAATGAAGATTTCTCCCAGATTCGGCACAATTTCCGCAAAACCCAACCACTACTGAGCTAACCAAATGGCTTTCTCCGCCCAAAAATCAAACCTTTGTGTTCAATTCTCGTTGTGAAACTTTTCTATGGTACTAAAAGAGAGTGAAGGGAGTGTGGGTAAAGAGAAGAGATTTCATACCTTGAGGATAAGAAAAGGGGAATGAGAGACTTTGGAGGATAAAACCCTAAAAATTGCAGAAGAGATAGACTACCTAACACATGACTTCCCCTTTTTATTGCAGCAAGTCTTGTTGATAGGTTCTCGAACGCTCTACCGGGCGGGTTTTTTAGTCTGTTAAACGGGTCGGGCCGTTACCAACTCTTCTTGGTAAAATTTCTGAAATTTCTAGATTAATCATCTTTTTGAGATGTTTGTATTTTTTTTTTTCAAAGTTTATTTCTTAAACGTAATCGTGTATTACTAGAGGAAGTACTTTGATATTACTTTGATTCAAAGAGAGACATCAAAGTAATATACATTGTTAGTATGTATACAAAACTTTCCCATACAAAATGTGGTTTAGTGATAGAAAATGTAATAGGCGACTTCTTGTCATCCTCATCGAGAATCTTCTTTCGTCACACAACAGAGATACATAAATTTCCAATTGTCCTTGCTTAATCTTAATAGAGGTCTTATAAAAAAAAGCAACTCAAAAATATATAAAGAAGACAAAATTTTATTCGATTGTAAATACTTATTTCCACAACCCTACACATCCATATCCATCGAAAAAACACTAGATCAAAAACAAGAACGACATTATTTAACGATCAAGATTAACCTAAAATTATTTAAGAAAATTATTGCAATCACTAGCTAGAGCCTAGAGCTAAGAACTATTCTAGCACTCAAGTTCAACAAACAGTCTTTTAGGGAAACCTTCACAGTCCAAAGTAGATCCAAACTTGTGGGAAGACACATCCATAGTGCAGTTGAGTTTCCCTACACATTCTTGAGCCACAACCTTTGCAGCATCCTTGGCTCCTTGGCACGTACCAACTGCAAAAGCCCCACAATGTCCCGAAGGATTTCCAAAGCTCGCGAATTTGACGGCTGAGATCGGCCGGTCCTTGCAAGACAACTCCACTTTGTTGTGCTCATGACCCCTGACACAAGCCGTTCCGACCACAACCGTCTTGAATTTCACATTTGACGGGTCACCGCCCATTTCTTCGAATAGAGTGATAGTGTTGTGTCCGCTCTCCTTCAAGAACGACCTCGGTACATGGTACCTACAAGAATCCAACCATAAAAAAAACTAAGAATCCGTAGAAAACACCATTATTCTTAGAGAAATGAACTATTATTGATTATTGATTATTGATTATGTTATTTATTTCATTTTATGTTTACCATCTTTGAGTTGGTTTGCCGCACATAAAAGCGCATTTGTCGCTACCATACTCCCCACGGTAGTCACATTCGTCGTCAGTGCAACCGTCATCACTAGAGTTAAAGCTTGGCCAGTAACGTCCGATGCTCTGACCATTGATCCAAGCCTCTCCTTTCCCAAGACCATTCAAGTCCACAATCACTGGATCTTTACCAAGAGGAGCCTTGAACTTTGCCTGACAAAAATAACACCTTTTTTGTAAGAAGCCGCTTATTTGCAACATCAAATGATTTTTGTAGAAATTTTTTACTTGATACTGACCTTGTACCATGTCAACATCCGATCAGCAGGAAGCTTTTCGTTTGACCATTTGATGTGGTGACCAACGGTTTTGGTGTGGTGGTGACCAATGGATTTTGTGCTGAAAAGTTTGTGGTTGAATCCATTCAAACCAATCTTGTAGTCCCATTGATGCTCCGATAGATCTTTCTCGACCGTTTCCTCTCCATTGTATCCGACTAGTTTCACAGGACCATTGATTCCAGTTGGACTGCTCGGAAAGAAAGGTCCATTAATCTAAAACATAATATGTCCACACAACTTCAGTTTTCACTCTACAAAACGTATCAACACATTCAAGAAGCTATATAGTATACATATGGTTTCACTTCTTACCTTTAGTCCAACGGAAACGCTGAGAAGTGAAATGTGATTAGTTCCGTGAACGAGGTTGACTTTCTTCTCAAATCTGTAGTCGAAATTGTTATCCTTCACGATTTGGTGACCGACGTATTTTCCATTGACGTAAGCGTGAAGAACATGTGCATTGCTGTGAACCCGTAACGTCATGTTTCGGCTCCAAATTGGATCTTTCTTGTCTACATGAAGCCTGATTAACAACCATATCAAACCAGTTAAGACAATATAATCATTGAGTTAACCGGTATGGAAACAAAAGGAAAATTAGACCATATTATATATATACATACCTAGTCATGTACCAAAGATAGTCAGTAGCATCATTTGTAACGTCTTTTTGGTCTACAAGACCCTTGGAAATGCGGTCTCCACTGCCTTTAAGAATCGCCTTCCTAGCGAATTCCGGTTTCCAAGTCCATTTCAGCTTCTCTGGCTCAGGACGAGAGTCTTCGGTCATGATCGACGTTTGAGTGTTCACTCTTGCAGTGTTGTAAGCATCTTTATTGCAATCAGGAAGAACACTCACGGACCAAGCCGGTACGTTGTAGTTTTTCCCTTTGAAGTTGACGAAAGCATCCGCAGTTGCGTTCACGTTACCGATGAAGCAACTCGATCTTTCCTTTGTTGAGTAAACCGTCGCCTTTTAGAATATACAACAAGTGGGTTAAAAATATCGTAAATTTTTAGTACTTAATAAGGGATAACAAGGAAACAAGACCGGGTCTAACCGTGACGGAATTGCCAAGATCGATCGTTGAGATATTGCCGTAAGTTAGAGGTTTCTCCATCGATTTCAACAGTGTGTGTAACTGTTTCAAGTGACCCCATTTCGGCTGGTTCAAGTTACCTGAAAAAATAATATATATACGTCAGGAAACGTTTATAACTTTTTTTATAACAAGAACGTTTATGTTATATCCTACATTTTCAAGCAATATATATAAAAGAAAATGCATGCATGAAGTTGTTTACATACCGTATTCATCAAGAGGAGCATGGTAATCATATGAAGTGGTAATGTATGGACCTCCAGCGACTCTTCCAAAGTTAGTACCACCATGATACTGTAAACTTTCACATTACAGATAACAAACACAATAGTTAGAAACAGAATGAATGTAAATTAATATTTGTTGAATACATGTAACGAAATCTGACCATGTAGTAGTTCTGGAAAGTTCCACCAGTTTGGAAAAATCTAGCAACGGAATAAGCAAGATCCTCAGCGGTTCTATAAGGATGTTTGCCTCCCCAGTTCTTGTACCAGCCGGTCCAATTCTCTGTCCACATCTTTGGGCTACTTGGGTTGGTCGGTTTGTATTGGTCACAGTAGAATCCATTGCACGTCTCGATCATAGGCTCAGGAGCGTTGGGTTGTTGGCACATAAGCCATGGAACACCGATGTCTAGAGAGTTAGCCATGTTGGCACACCAATCAATGTAGGCTTTTCCCTCTGCTCCGTACGATGAGATCACGTTCCCATACTCGTTCTCGATCTGAATTAAATATAACCAAACAAGTTTGACAAAAGACATAGGTAAACGAGTTTTAAATAACATTTCTAATAATATTTGTACCTGAGCTAGGATGATAGGACCGCCTTGTGAAGCAAACAAGTTCTCTTCTTTCATCATGTGAACGATTTTTGTAGTGAAATTTTGCATTTCGTTCTGTATAAATATATTCAAGAAAACATTAGAAGAAATACAAGAAACGGAATAAAATAAAATATTGGTCTAGTTAAAGTTTGGATTATATACCATGAAACCGGAGTTAACTGTTCTGAATTTCATATTGGGCATATTGTGCAGCCACACCGGAAAGCCTCCGTAATTCCACTCAGCACAAACATAAGGCCCAATGCGAAGAACAGAGTAAAGACCCGAAGCTTGAATGGTTTTGATGAGTGGATAGATGGTGTGTTAAGTGTAAGCAAGTACATCAGGAGTGCTTCGTGGGTAATGAATGGAGCCTGACATTAGAATTCGGCGTTGTCCATTGATGGTAATGGCTCGTTCGTCATGAGAGACAACGGTTGAGTTAGATGAAGGGAAACTAGTGATGAGAATAAAGAACAATGATAAGAGACAAGTGTAATGTTTCATTTTCATAGCTTAGTGTTGTATTTTTTTCGGTAGATTTGTTTTTGAAGAGTGTTAGATGAGCTGTTTTTATAGTAACTTTGAGAAAACATAAAACACTGATTTTTTAGATTAGTTTGTTTAATATTTAATTAAACTGATTTTTAGGATTGACTAAGTTTTTTTTATTAAAACAAAAATTTGATCACATGCATGGAACAGTAGAAAACGATTTTAGTTTCCGATTGCGGATCAACTTGTCCAATATCTTAATTACATAGATTTTTACGATTGAATAAGTAACTATAGAACTAAAAAAAATCCCATTTTTAAAAAGAATCTTAGTTTAGATTTCTAAGATTTGAAGGATTGACTAGGTTATTTGCTTACTTATCCACTGATTGACTAGGTTATCTTGTTCCGGATTGAATTATCATTACATAAAGTTGTTAATTCGTGCCGTCAAAAGAAAAGAAAGATTTGTTCATTCGTATGCATACAATCACTATTATGTGTTATAAAATTTATGTAAAAAAAAAAATATCAAATTGATAATTTTTCTCGTTTCCAAAATTTTAAAATACTTTTTTCTTACTGTATTATTTAAAAAATTATGGGAAATTTAAACTATATGAACAGATTCTGTTATCTGTACTTGGATAATGTTGGTCAGGCGAACAATTAGGGAGGAGGAAAAAGGGAATTCTTGGACTTAATTTTCCCCATAAACGGAGGAGTTTTAGATAATGTGTATACAGTAACAAATTAGAAAAAATGAAAAACAATGTGTAGTTAGATTCTTTTTGTTGAAACAACCATAAGTAAAGACATTGGATTAAAAGGAAGTAAGAAGAAAAGCCATACTCTTGCCTCTTGGTTTAAACTTAAAATATAACATAAAATGCCTCTTGTTTTTGTTTTTGACAACCTGTGGGATACATTTTAGTGTTCGTCATAAGAGAGAACAATTTTCATCCAGCAGAGTTGTTTTTACCTAAGGCTCAAACACATGTGTATTTGATGCAATCATTTAGGATTTCGACGTTTTAGTTTACAGATGATTATTGTCCTTAATCAAAACATTGTTTTTTTTATAAAGAAGTCAAAACATTGTTCAAATTACTCCATAAAATATGTACTTGAATATTTTTAAACAGATCAGATGATTTTTTTTTTCTTTTTTAAAAACAAATTTATTATTTTTTAGAAAAAGGAGAAGGCTATTTTTAAACTCGTGAGATCCGTAATATAGTTGCAGAACAATTAATTTACATTATTATTTTGATTTACTAAAACTTTCTGAAAATACATGTATAGGGGGATCTCAGTAGGGGAATGGGACCATATAAAAAGGAGTATAAAATAGTAAAAGTAAAACAGAAATCCGAGTCAGCAAATAATAGTGGAGGGTACAATGGAGCTGTTGATGAATGCCACGTATTCACATCTCATGAAAGTGCTCAACGAATCCTCTTTAATTAGCCTGTGGGACCCATTTGCGACATTGTTGATCTCGACTTTTTGTGTCTAATGTTTGTTTTCTTTTTTCACAGTGTGGACCACTCTTTCATTGGCACCTCATCTTTATATTCGTTTTAATATCTCTGTTATTACTTGTGTCATTTTTTTTATTTTTTTCTAGTCGGTTCTTTAATTAATATAAAAATTATTTTTTGATTTTGTATATTTTTTCTTATAAGAAACAAATCTGTCAAATCTAAGTCCCATTATTATCAGCATTGTTTAGGGTTTATGTCAATTCAACTTACACATATAACACTCCACTAAAATTCATTAACTATTGAATAACAGAGAAAACAAAACATGCATGTGTCGCTGTTATGTATAAGTCTGGGCATATACAGAAGGTTGCGTTTGGTTTAGACATAACTGCTCACAAACGTTATCTTTTGATCTATGTGGCTGGATGATTGTGATTGCATTCATTTGAAACTAATTCTATAACGCTGTAAATATTTTAAACCAATAATTATGTTACTTCGAATGTTTTTTGACAAAAAAAATGTTTCATTACCAATCTAAACCAATGCTACTATAACCTTTTGGTTACATAACATAAAAGCTTTTTTATGACTAAAGGGCTTGTTGTTATTTGTAACGGGTGAGTATGGCCAGTGAGTAAAGAAACAAAGTACGCATTTTCTTTGAATATGAATATATTATCTGTTCAAATTAGAATTATGTAACGTATTAACAAGTTAACTAACACCGTGTCAGCCACACTATTATTTGTATAAATTAGGAAGTGCCAATAATATTTGCGTCAACGTTAGTGTCAGTATATATCGAATATCTTCAGAACGATAACTGACGACTTAATCATGTGCTTCTAACTAATGTAATGCATTTATATATAATACACTAGCTAAACGAATTTAATATACTTTCAATCGATCTGTTTATTTATCTCTTCTGGTTTTCTTCGATAATTGTTCTCAAACATGGTGACATATCCAAGTTTTCCCTCTCTCTTTGAATGTACATTAGTAATAATATAAATTCAAAAGATGTCGAATCGAGTTAGCTTCATACGTTTCGTGGTTTGTTACGTCAATAGATAGATATATTTTTATTTTTGTTAAATACGTCATATGGTAGTTTTGTTTAAGAAGATAAACAGTAGGGATTTTATTCGTAAGATACGAATAGTTCACGTGAATTATTGTAAATATTGCAATAAAATAAAAGTAGTGTAAGGTTTCTCAACCCTCCCACCAACTCCACCATAAATAACACATCTCTCTCCCATCTCTTCTTTGTGGAGGTTTCACAAACACCACCGATCTTCTTATATTCTTCTTCTCTCCTCTCCTTTTATGTTTCTTCTCCTTTTTCCGTTTTGTGGTTTAATCTGATCAAAAGCCCTTCTCACGCTTAGCAAACCTTATATTCAAGATCATGCTTGGCAAAAGAACCCATCCCATGATCGGAAAGATATCCGAGCTCCTCGTCGGCGTCAACCGATCTGCGGCAGCTGCTGCTCCTTTCTTCGACGTCTTGATGACTAGCCCTAAAAGCCCACTCGATTTCAAGATTCTCCCTCAGATATCTCAAAGAAACAGCTCAAAGAGATTCTACGATGACAATCTTGGTGGGTCCGTTGGTCTAGGGATTGTTGCCGCACTCGAGAACTCAACCACTCGTCGAATCACGAGCGTATGTAGATCGGAACCGAACCAATCCGGTCAGTCTGATCCAGCTCAGCTCATGAGCCATGGAGGAAGCACGGACGAGGATGAAGACGAAGAAATGTTCGCAATGGACGAGGAGGATTATACGTTGGTGACGTGTCACCATGGACCTAGTGGATCTTGTAGTACAAGGGTTTACGATAGAGATGGACTTGAGTGTTTCGCAAGTAAGACCAACGAAGATCATAGGAAGAGACTTTTCGTGGTCGATGCTGGTGTGGAGTCTCCAGAGAATTCGCCGGCGTTTCAGGGTTTGGGTTTCCTCAATTCGTGTTACTTATGCAGAAAGAAACTTCATGGTCAAGATATATTTATTTACAGGTATATTTTGGGATCAACTATATAAGTATTTAATAGTATGGTCGTACTGTATATATATCACTCGAATTCGTATTGATTGAGGTTTTTTGTTTCTATGCAGAGGAGAAAAAGCCTTTTGCAGCACGGAGTGTCGATCGAGTCATATAGCGAATGACGAAAGGAAAGAGAGGTGTAGATCGAAATTTTCAACCTCTCCTTACACCGCCGGCCAAATTTTCTCCACCGGAGTTCTAGTGACTTAGCCGGAGTTCTACTACGTACTGAGTATACAAAAAAGGGGGTCGGGGGTAAATAGAATAACTAGGCATAAATAATCGGCGAGAAAAATAAATTAGCACATATATATAAAATATGACATTGTATGTTCATAAAATTATATGGTGGAAACGAAACAACATCGAGAAATTTTGGTGAGGGGGTGAATGAATATAGAGAGAGCTAATTCTTGATCGTTAAGCTGGCGATAAATGGAAGAATGCTCTTTTCTTGGTTTTTGTTTGTTTTTGTTTTTGTGTTTTTATTTGTATTTTGTGATAATTAACATATATATGAAATAATTTTGAAATTTTGGTCTAAAGAAAAGATGTTTGAAAGGTGAAAAGAACTGCTCCTAGCATCAAATCACATAATTGAAGCGAATATTAGCAACATAAAATGGAGCGATGAAAATTGTACTAAAAAATTCGAATGATAAACGAATAATTTGAGCATAATTATTACGTATAAATAAATGTATATATAAAAGCAAAAAAAAAGGTTGTTGCCGTGTTGGCATGTGTGTGGTTTATACATCAATCAACTCGTGAAAGATACAAAAACTATAAAACAATTGATGTGGTAAAATAATATTGACCCATATGGAAGTAGCCAGCAAAGAGAATACGCCCAAAAGAGGGACATCATTGCTGAGTGGTTGGGGTCCACCATAAAAGTCCAATTATTAATAAATTAATTATATTATATAGGAGGATCAAGACAAAACCTAATTTCTTTGTGGTCCTTTCATTAAAATTGACTTGCATGCAAAAATTTAATGTCTTTGTTCCTATTCGAATCGACTCCTACCCAATAATCAAGCTTTCGGGTCCAGTAATATGTTGCTCTTTAAAATATAGCATGATTGCTTGAGTTTAAACACTTTTATAAAAGAAAATTGAGTGATCCGGATCAGCATACGACTGGAGTCAAGACTAGAATTGGTCCAACTAATGTTAAGAGATGAGCCAACTTAACAGAGAAAGTTTGGTCCACCAGACTTTTCACTGGGAATTAGTTAAAATGATACATTTGGATGATAAATATTTAGAGAATGTGTTTTTTCGAAGCTATTTTTAAATTAGTAATCACGATTCACAAAAGAAGTCGTAGCTATAAATGGTTTTCTCTGACCCAAATATATTAACTAATTCAAATCGATAAAATTACCAAAACTTTTATTGTGTTTCTAAATTTGAAGCTATCAGAAGTTAGCCGGATCATATAAGACACATAAAACCATTTCCATAAAACAAAAATAGGTAACTATTGAGGTGGGTGATGAGCCAATCCCAACCACCATTTGTTCTCAACCGGTGGCTGCAACACAGCTGAGAAGTGATTACCGGAGTTATGATATGGTCCACGCCCTCCACACCTTACAAAATTCAATTAAATTAATTACTAAAACAGTTCAAAACACACAAAATTAAGAAATTAGAGCATTTGAAGATATGTTTGTAGACATATATATGTATACCTATCTTGTCTCTTCTCCATGAACCGGTGAAGCGAGTTTCGTCTAGCAATTGGGAGTTCTGTATTAACAAAACAAAAACAAGATCGATGAAGAAATTTTTGTTACATTTTAAAAACATTTGAACAAAAAAACCATTTTCTCAAGAACAATACCGCAAGTCATGTTATCCAAGGAGACATCTAAATTGCCGCCTTTGTTTATATTTTCCAGAAAGTTCGAGACGATGACCGAACGGTGCCATTGATTAGGGTTGTTGTGGGGCGTTGTAGGAGGTATTCGTTGATTAAGCTGAGTGTTGATCTTTGGTGAAGTGTCTTCATGTTCTGCCAAAAGTAAGATCTGTTCAGCTTTCTCGGATGAGAGATCATTGAACACGAACACTTTCCCCTCGTAGATCATTGTCACTTGAGCTCTATGGCCTTCACGTCTCATATTATTATTCGTCCTGAATATATATTAAAGACATTCATTAAGCTTCCTTCGGGAAACAAACATAGCAATTATAAAAAGTAACAAAAAGAAAGCAATAATTATAAAGAAATAATATAAATTCTTTGAATGTAAGTAAAGAAAAGCTAACAAACCCGTAATTAGGCAACATATGGAGTTCATGCTCGGATGATGGATTGTCGGAACTAGGTTGCTAAGGGAAAAGATCCATTGTTTTGTGTTAGATGCTGAGGAAAGAGCAAACAATGACAGGAGAGATTGTTATCCGATGACACTTTCTTCAACTTTGAAATATGCACAACCTGAAAAGGATCTTAGGAGAATCATTTTTTTCTTTTTACCGGATCTTCGGAGATAAAGACGTTAATTATGATATGTGGATGCAATTTTTGGATATTAACTTTATTAATTATAATCCATTTTAGATTTTCCTTTCATACTGAGACATAAATTTGAGTTGTTGCGGTCAATTAAGATCCATGTTGCTAGGTACTGAGAAATACTGTATTTAATTTATAAAATAAATAAATCTGATATTTAATCATTTTGCACGAAAGCATCGAAAATAAAGGTAAAAATAACGGAGTTAGAGAAATATTTAAAAAAATTACTGGTTAACATAATAAGAGAATGCCAATGTGGTTACTGGTTAGTTGCATATGTTAATGATTACGTTGATTAGAAGAGGTTCAAAAATTACAAATGCAGTTGTTGTTTTTCTCTTACCATAGTTCGTAGATTTATGCCATACTTGTAGTGTACTAGTGTCTCTTTTGTTATAAGCCTGGCCAAGATAACCAGTTTAGGATACTGTGCCAGTAAAAGGGAACAGTTTTGTTGGAGAAATTGGTGCTATAGTGTTCACATGAAGTTTTGTGATTGAAAATAAGAGAAAGTTAGAAGAAGAAAAGGAAAAATCTAAAATATTTGATTTTCTAAAGAATGAATAAATGAACAATTGTGCTTTACATGGAACAAGGAACAGAAAAGAGTAATCAAAGATCAACCTTGGAAAAAAAATAAAAATTTCCCTATTCACGTATACAATTCTTTTTCGTTGTTAGTATGATATCTACAGATTCCAAAGGTTTCTCCTCTCCAGAGTTTGACTGTTCCGATCTTGTTTTGCGTTCTAAGCATCTCATCTCATGTCTTTACTTGTTCTATTCTTCTAACAGCTTCCCTCATGTCTAATCTCTCATCTGGATTACTTGCGATACAAGCAGCCCCAACCCTCAACAATTCCACCATCTGTTTCACCGAACCAGTACTGTTTGCTATCTCCGGATCGATAAGCTCTTCTTCTTTTTGCTCCGCGACCGAAGACTGTACCCATTGAACTATATCGGTCCCGCCTTTACCATTGTTTAAGTATTGAGAAGGAAACTTCCCTGTCAAGATCTCAAGAACTATAATCCCGAGGCAGTAGACATCTGATTTATGCGAGACTTGTTGGCTCTGCAAGAACTCGGGCGTCTTGTAAGCGAACATCGCCTGCGACGCGTTTTCTGGCTGAAGAAACGGCGAGAACGCGTAATCACTGATCAAAGGCTCGTAGGTCTCGCTGAGAAGGACGTTGCTCGACTTTAGGTTACCATGTGGGAGCTCGTAAGACGCAAACTCTTCATGCAAGAACTTCATTCCATGAGCCACTCCTTGGATGATCTTCAATCTTGTTGCCCAAGTTAACTCCGAATGATATATCCCACGATCACCTGTTAAGAGAAAGAAAAAAAAAAAATCATTTAGGTTTAGTAGTTGAAGATTTGTTTAAAACATTTCAGAAGATTTTAAACTTACCGTGTAAAACGTAAAGCAAGCTGCTTTTAGGCATATATTCAGAGACGACAAGCTTCTCTTCACGACGGTAATGATAAGCTAAAGGCGTAAGAATGTTAGGGTGGCTAAGTTTCCCTAACCGTCTCATCTCAACATCGAAAGGTTCACGTGCAAGTTTGTTCATATCCCTAATCCTCTTCACAACAACGGACAATCCATTAGCCATCACCGCCTTGTAAGCTGATCCTAGGCTACCGTTTCCTAGCACCTCCGCTGCAGCTTTCATAAGATCCGGTAAACCGAACGAACCCTTGTCGTTGTTCACCATAATAATGTCACCCATCCCTCCTCCGGCTACGCTTCCTCCTCCGACTTTACCATTATGAGAAGAGCCTTTCTTGGTGGAACCGCCGTCAGCGTTTCCACCGCGCTTAGACGACCTTTTGCCGACCGGGGAACCAGGTACCTTGACCTCCACGATATCGTTGTTGCTCGGATGGTGTTTGTCGAGCATATGAAACTCGGGGTGTCTCTTCTTGTTTCGCTTCCTTATAATTCCCACAACGATAAAGAACAAGATAAGAAACGTGATCGCCACCATGATCGCGTCCACCGTGGCCCTGTTGGAGTGGTTTGATAACGGCGACGTGGTTTTTTCTTCGACGGGCGCACATTCAACGTTCACCGCTTTCCCGCACAGATTTAGGTTCCCTCCCAATGTCATGACGAGATTTTTCCTGTCCGAGAGGCTCTCAGGGACCTTTCCTTCGAGCTGGTTGCTCGAAAGGTCGAGGATTTTCAGGTTCTTTGTGTCGATCACCGGAGGAATCTCTCCGGAGAAACGGTTACCTTGCAGGTGAAGCTCCTCGAGATTAGGGAGTTGCATAATGGAGGAAGGGATTTTCCCCGAGAATTGGTTATGATCAAGAAACAGCCTCTTGACGTTTAACATGTCCTTGAAGAAATCGTCAGGGATCTCGCCGGAGAAGCTGTTGTTAGAGAGCATGAGAGATTTTAGGCCGCGCAGTTTGGAGAAATGTGGGAGAGGACCTGAGAGGAGGTTGTTGTCAAGCCTGATTGTCTTTAGATTCGTGAGAGCTTTTAAATCGTCGACGTTGATGGGTCCCAAGAGACCGAGACGCGTGACATGAATGCCTGAGACTGTCAAACCCTTTTGGCAATAGATCCCAAACCATTTCCCACTGCAAGGATCTGTTCCTGGTCTCCATGAATTTAGGTCTCCTTTGGTTATGTTCACCGAGGTCTTGAACCTCACAAGCGGTTCGGATTCGCTAACGTTCTGCATAGAAGGGGAGATTGAGAAACATAGGAGGAGAAGGCAGAGGGGGAGGAAGCCAGGGAACAGAACAGCAGCCATGGATTGAGGAGAAGAGAAACTGCTGCTGTTTTTTTTCTTGTTGGTATTTTATGTCTGAAAACGAGGAAGATCTTGCTGTTGATGATGATGATGTATAGTTCGTTGAGAGATGTAGTTTTGTTCAGATTGGGTTTGTTGTTCCAAAGTTTGGACATTGTTTGTTTGTGAGGGTTGAGAAGAGGGTGGCATTTTTTCCTTGTTTTTGATTGAATTAGCTGTCGAAGTTTAGACTTTTTCTTGCCAAAAATAGCTTCTTCTGTGTTCCTTTTTCCTTGTTTTTAAACCTTTTCTTGTTTTTGAGAGAGCTTAGAGATTTTTTTGGGATTTTCTCACGACCATGTTTTCTTCTTCTCTTTCTAAGGTTTCAGCCTCCTCTCTCCCCCCGTAATCTTCGGGGTTTCTTCTTCGAGGAGTAAGAGTTTGCATTTGTGTCTTGCTTACTGCTTATTTGTTTTCTAAGTCACCGGAGAACAAACATGTGTGTCAAGCCATTCCAGCCAATAAAGCTCTCTCAGTTGTTACTATAGGCACCGGAAATTTATTATTTAACATGAACTAACTTTCAAATAGTGAACCACCCAAATCAATGCATCTCAATGATCCAAGCGTCGTTGATGTATGAATGTATTGAGAAAGAACATAAAGAACATAAATGGTCATCACTGCAACATGATCAAAAATGTTTCATTTTATTTGATTCATTCCTTCAGCCTTTCCTGATGTAGACTGTAGGCTTCTACCCAAAATCCTAAAAAAAAAAAAAAAACAGATTTGCAGAACACGGAAGTCTTAACATTTCTGTTAATCGAGTTCAAGACAAAAGTTAAAAGAGTTAGAATCTGTTTCGTAAATATGGTCGGAAACCAAGCCCCGGTGTGGTACGTCTATAATATAGCCAGAGCCTTGTTTCTTTACCAGAATATAATACTAAAACATACACCTCAGCCTGCTAAAACTTCAATATGTGTAGTAGAAAGCTATCAAAGGCTGGCTCTGGCTCTCGCTCAGGCTCAAGCCCTTTTTTCTCTGAACTTTCCTGCTGGCGCAAAACTTAAATCATAGCAAAAAGGATTTCATTCCACGTATCAGGAACACCGGGCAAGCACCAATGGAGGCAATCCTGAACTCCCGGTGAAGCCGAGATACTAAACCGGGATATGTGACCTTCGTCTCTAATATGAGATAACGCTGCGATGTCCAAAAGCTTTACCCCTGTGCCTTTCACTGCATGACCCGCGCTGTAATCTCTAGACTCCTCTTGCAGAACTTCTTTCCCGATAGACATTGGTGTTGTGTTGTTGCAGCTCCCTCCTGTGTTCCATTCCCCGCCGACAAAATGCCTCGGCGAAAGGCTTCTGTAGAAGGCCTTGAGACCTGGATGGAGAGGGAGCTGCGAGCTAACCCAGCTAACCGTGCTGTGGATTGTGAAGTTCTTGGCGTTCCCAAGAGCGGCTAGTTTCTTGTTGGTGTTGCGAACGCCGTTCACATGCATCACCCATCTGTTACCGTTGAGCTTCCCTCTGTTCCAGTGGTGACCTGTGTTCATTACCAAGACGTGGATCTTGTGAAGGTATTGGCGTAAGAACGCCGGTGGGCGATCGAGATGCATAGCGTGTTCGGTTAAAGGGTCGGAGATGTTGATCGGTTGTATGTCGCAGAGCGTAGATGACCAGTGGTAGAGGACCGTTGTGTTGGTTTCCGGGAATCTGTAAGCCCATCCACCAGGACGAGCTCCACCTTCGGGAGTAATGAAGCCGAACTCTGGTCCCACGTCAAGGACGTCGGGCCTCTCTTTGCCTCCTGTGATCATACACATCATAGATTGGAACTGTTGCCTTCCCAACGAGTCTCCAACAAAGGCTAGAGTTTTGTTCTTCATCCTGAGGGGAATTTCAAAAACAGAGCCATGCACTAACTGTTACGAAAGGACTTGGTGGGAACACTTGGCTACATCTTTGGATACAAAATTATGTTTTACCTCTTCAAGAACTTGGAACCCTCAAATTCTTCCATAGAGCAATCTTTAGGCTGCCATCTTAACCTTTCAAAGGCAAAGTCTGTACGTTGCATCAACCTGCAAGCCCACATTGAAGCAAGCCACTGTTTGCAATGAGCTCCTGAGTACAAAGGACGGTGATCGTCCACTACCCATTTCCCTTTCGCATAATTACAAGCTGGGGGAAAAAGGAAAAAGCAAAACCTGTTATTTCACAAAGGACGGAATCTTACTGAAACAACATTCACCAAGATGCAGACTAATAGTTTGACCAAGACGCAAAATAGAGAAATAAACATTCCTAAGATACTTTCACGCATCATAAAACCGAGTATCTATAAAAACACGATTATCTACCTTGACTCTTGATGTGAGTTGTTGAAGTCCTCTCTTCGTCTGCTGCAAGACTCTTACTCTCTGGATCTAAATTAGTCTTTTTAATATGTGTCTTCTTCGTAGCTTTTGCCTCACCAACAGGAACCTCATGTTTCACCTGTTCTAATTTATTATCTTCAATAGCTGGTGTTTTCCTATATATTGGCTCAGTTGCAATATCTTCATGTTCTTGTTTTATTTCTTCAATAGTTGGTGTCTTCCCTTGATTCGTCTCACTTAGAGTAACTTCTTCCCCTTGTATCTCTTCTTCTTTTGTATCTATATTCAAGAAAGCCCGAAAAGGGAAAAATGTGCGAGGCTTAGTTTCCCCGAATGCACAATACAACAGAGAGGGAGCAACCCCTCTCAAAAAGTGCAAAAAAAACTTTAGAACATTACCTTTGTTTACAAATGGAGTAGCTGATGAGTAGATGTCTTTAGTGTCAGTAGGTATTCTCTCAACTTTTTCTTCTGCAAATGACAACGAAAGAGGTTACATATATCCCAGGATATTGTTCCAGCATTCAAACCACCTAACAAAAATGTGCCAGAGAGAGAAAGAGAGAGAGTTTAGTGTTAAAATTTAAACCTGTTTGCAGCTTTAGATAGTGACTCTCAGGCGGAAGAAAGGCGGAGGTTGGAGCTCTATCCCATGTCCAAATGACTACGGTTGCACAGAGAAGCACAACAAGCACAAGAGAGACATCCCTAGCCCTCCGTCGAAGGGCTCCTCTTTTCATCCTAAAGCTGTAAGATTTCATTCCGTCACACCTAAGAAGAGATTACTACAACGAAAGAAAGAAAGACGATGAAAAAATTCAAAGTGGCAGCCTTCCATTCTCCTAAATAGATATAATACCACATCACTCAGGAAAATTACCTATTTACACACACATGTCAACAACAATCAACTAGGAAATTTCTACCTATTTCTATGGAGGGTCATGCTTCTTGGCGTCTCAGAGAGAACTTTGGTTCACACTAGATCAAGCCATTTATCCAGCTAGCTCTCGATGTTCAGTGTGATCCTTTCAGAACAGTTAGTCGATCAACAGATATCTCATTTTAGCAGTAGATTCCTAGCCAAATCATATAAGATAACTGGTGTTTAGCACGGCCAAGAAGAACACAGAAAATGGATCCTATCATTTCCGTATTACTGTTACTGAGGAAGCAAAAAAAAAACCATCCTACACACTGATCCTATCACAAGAGACACAAAAGCAAAGTTTTTGGTAGGACAAAAGCATTGATTAGTACCTTAAAAGAGCATCCAGAGAGAGATGGACAAGAAAAAGTTAAAATTTAAGAGTCAAATTAATGGGCAATTAGCTAAATTAGCATCTCCTACCTACCAAATCAAACTAAAATTGGTAAAATCCCCCAAAAGAAACACATTACTTGAATTGATTAATTCAGTATATCAAATCAAAGTTTGAGAAAATCAGGCAATATTGCAATTCCAATTCCAAGCCTAATCCCAATCTCAACGCAACTAAATCCATCTCCTCAATCGTACTAATTGAGGAAAATTCTCCTGAACACCCAACATTCAGTAACGAAACAAATCAAATGAAAAAACTTTCATTCATTCTGCTACTACGATATAAGGAGACAGTTTACGAGGCGAAAATAGATCAGATCGAATCGGTACTTGATTGAGAAAATACCTGGAATCTCAGATAACAGATCAGAAAACGAATCTCCTCCTCTTCAATCAATTCGAATTTCGAAGGAACACAAATTTTTTAAGAAGATAGTGGATCAACGATTCCGATAACAGACACTCGTTTATGTATCCCTTGATGTCAGCGACAATGAAATCCGATTCTCCGGAGAGGCGTGTTGAGAGGAAACAACGTTGGAGAATCAAAATATCAAAATTCAAATCCAACTTGGGGAGAGGTTGAAAAATGAAAGAGCTTCCTGAGTTAATATTGACCCTTTAATGACTTGTCGGCCGTAGAATTTTTACTGATGACACAAATATAAAGTCCTTTTTTTATTTTTCCCAAACCAATTACATGCACCGTGACATCAACCAAAGCGTAGAGTTTGCATACAGCATGAGTTTCCTAACCAATTCCATATATTATCCCTATAATAATTTTCAGTGTCGTGTATGAACATGTTACAGAGGGTTAAAATAATTGAAAAATAATTAAAATTGGAATTTGGAGGGGCTCATCGGAAGTTGGCCAGTGGTAACGAGCCACAGCGGTTTTCATCATGTTTATTTCCTTCACATAGAGAGCTTTAAAGGGATGATGATGAATGGAAGTTAATAGAAGTTTCAAAAGGCCCAGCAAGGCCCAAATAGCACTTACGGAGCTTCCCGGGTTTTTTGTTGTTGTAACGGGCCCTTCCCGGGAGTTTTCAAAATTAGTTCCGCTTATCAACAGAGATTACACTAATCTCAACGGTGTGCAAATGATTACGTTTTGATCCACTGATTTATTCGAATATAAACTGCTAAACATTTTTTCATTTTCTTACTGAAAAACCTGCTCACTCCAGAATCTGTTGTACACTTGGATGATCTGGAAATCACATGGTGCCCATTAAAAAAGATTAGTTGTAATATGTATATCAGTATATGCCAAAAAGACCAAAAATTTGCCGTAAGTAGGTGAAAGAAGAAAAATGTCGAGATTAGAAGGAAAGTATAAAAGTAATAAGTGGGTGTTCTTATAATAAAATAAAATAAAAGATGCAAGAGTTCGGCTATCATTTCATGTTGAAGACAAAACCACGCCAGCTGTAACTCGTTTTGTTTTTCAATGGTACCACGTAACACATAATTGATAAGTAGATTACAATTGTATTAAGGGGGGGATCATAGTAATTCTATAACTAAAAATAGACAACACTAGTCGTACTGCTCAATTATGCTGTATTTGTTGTACCAACATATATAGAGAAACACAGCGATAGAGACAAAGAACATGTTGCTTCTTTAAGAAAACGATTCTACGACGTAACTATTTGTGATTGGTCATATCATCTTGCCTGTTTAAGAAAACGATTCTTAAACGTAATTAAGTATGAATCTAATGATTGATTTATCAAATCAACTGTTTTTTCTTTTCTTCTTCTCAGTCATGATGCCAGTAAATCAAGTTGATCCTGCATGTCTATCTTTCTAATAATGTTTTATACTGCATCTATAAAATGTAAAACAATAATATCAATAGGTATTAACATAATGTATCGCAAGATTTTAGAAGATAAAAATCCAATATATACGAACTTTCCAGTTATATGTCAAAAGAGAAAAAGAAAAAACTAATGTATTTACACAATTAATACTTAACATTTGGCATCAACTGAAAAATCAATTGTATTGAACATTTGCGTATTAATTGAGGTTACATGTAATCATTTTTGAAGAAACACTGCGATGTGACTATTATTAGCTTTTTAATACCCCAAGTATTTTTGTTTAGTGTTGCGTAGATATGTCTACTTTCTTCCTTCTCGAATATATTTTTGTATACTAATCAATATCTCAAATAATATAAGAGACATATTTGTTCGTTTGCAGAACGAATATGAAAATTTTACATGCAGTACGTATGTCATCAAATCCAACCGAAAAAAACGATCTGATCTCACTCCCAAAATATATAGACTTAAATCGACTTGTAACCAACATATCATACTCGTAACAAAACTACAACAATGCCATTGCGATCGATGTACGAACTTGCCTTTAATTTATTCCTAGAGGTCAAAGCTTATAATTTAATTAGGATCTTCCGAGAGTCATGCAAACTTGATAACTTTTCTTGATCACTCTCTATGACTCTTTGCATAAGCAATTATTTAGCAAAACCCTTTTTGCTAGATGTTAAAAGGATAAAAGATAAAGACAAAAATAAGTAACATTTACTAAGGTGAAAAGAACAAAAGAGTTTCGACAAAGATGAGAAAAGAGAACGAATGGCAGACGAAACTGAGTGATTTCTAAGTAGGCCAAGGACAGATATCGTTTTCCAAGCAGAAAGCTGCAGTACTTTTTAAGCCTCTATAGCACGTTCCTCAATTTTGAGGTAAATTAATTTCTACAATACTGAAAAAAAATAATCTTATGAAATGTTGGTATGATTATTTCTCACATAGTTGTCACATATCACTCGTTGAATATATGGTCCCAGCATATGATGGTTAGTATATAGTACAACGTAGATATGACTCATATATTATTTTAAAATGATAGAGTATTCTAGATTCTTCCCACATTAGCCACCATCGATTTCCCCTAAGGTTGCATCCTCATATAAACGGTGGCTATAGACTTAGGATTCGATGTTTCACTCACATTTTTGTTTTCGCATTTACACAAAAATGACATTTCTGCACCTTTTTTGCTTAAAAGTATATAAGGTTTCGGGTTTAGAGGAAAAAAAAACATTTACACTAAGCTTAAACGTAAACAAACAATCGACATTTTAGTAGCCTCTAAGCTTATGAATCTATCAACCTCTCCTATTGTTAGAAAAAAAATTCATCTACGTACAGACCTAGAAATATCCAACTTTTAATATATATTCTGGCTCGATAGGATGTTAAACATACTTCACTAATGGAGTATTGCTTCAAAGACTAGGTACCTTCTCCGCTATTCCCAATCGAAAACATGGACCACCTCTTTTTTCATGTAACTACAACTCTTTTTTTAACGTCCTTTAACATTCACATCGATACTTCGACGGATAACCTCAATTTCAGGTCCACATTTCATCATTCTATACCGATGGTTTCAAGCAATCATTTATATATGTCATCATACTATATTGATGAAGTAAGTCAAGTCATTGGCTAGTAACACATTTCTACTCCTAAAATCGCCTCACAATAATTACTTAAGACCTATTGTTTCCTATTTGCATGCTCCTCATTCTTATTGATTCCAACTCAATAGAACGATTCTTCCTTAATCATTGTCTCTCTTAGCACATAAAACACATTTAGTGATCAATTTCCTACGTTAACTTATTTTCGTAGCTAAAACCGCACACACACAAAAAGGAGACGGAATCAAGACTAATTATGGGCAATTCATATGGAGATTTTTTTTTTTGTAATCGGGTGTCTAAACTAGTTTTGAGACCTGTGAAAGACTAGTTTGGATATTTGTTTTTTAATTTTGCTATTTTAATATGTTTACAATTGAATATGTGGAATCACACATTAACTATATTCAATTTCTAGTCTAGAACGGCAAACATCATTTGATTGCTACGGTTACCTATACATTTCATTAGAGAGATTTCTCAAAACATAATATATTTATACGAAAGTTGTTTCCCATTGGCCTCCCTTGAGTTACACTATGTTGGAATCCTTAATCGTATTATTCTAACATGCATCCACTCTTACAGAAAATAATGGGAAAAAATGAATACAAGTTGGTAGATGAACAATCTAGATTAGTATTCATAGGAAAAATCTTTAACCGCAAGATCGCATGATTATTTTATGAATTTTATCACTTGTTCAAACGAAATTCAATTATTATCCATCCACACCCACATGCAAAATTTCAAGAAACAAACAAAAAGTTTCTCGCCACATTATCTCACTCACATGAATCCAAATCCTCCTCCAACCTCACATTATTTAACATACACATAATAATTTTCGCTCGAAGAAAAAATAAATAAACAACAATAACAAAGATATATGTCACCATGTATATCTATATATACATCCAAGAAAGACCACCTGCATCTGAATGATATAAACCTTAAATCCAGAAAAGCCAGAGACTCTTAACAAAAAAAAATTCCACAAAGCAAATCATGTCTTCATCATCATCATCATCATCAGCCACCGATACTAACACGAAGACGGTGGCAGTGGCTTCGTCGTTGCCGGCAGTGGAGTCTGTCACGTGCGATACGTGCGGTTTCGCTGAGGAGTGCACGCCTGCTTACATCCACCGCGTCAAGGAACGGCACAAGGGACTCTGGCTTTGTGGGCTCTGCGCGGAGGCGGTTAAGGACGAGGTGGTTCGATCTCCGACTCGAATCTCCGTCGAGGAAGCTCTCCGCCGCCACACGACGTTTTGCCGCCGTTTCCGTTCTTGGAGTCCCGACGAGGAGGAAGATCCGATTTCCGTCATTGGTAGGATCCTACGGCGGAGCCTCGACAGTTCTCCACGAAGAACCACCACCAGGACGAACTCGAGCGGGGCTTTGCCGGGGATCGAGGGCGTAGAGTCACGACGGTCGCTTCTCCGATCCGGGAGCTGTTTCCCGTCTCTCTCTACTTGATTAATCTGTTAGTTGTAAATTTGTTTTTTTATTTCCCTTAATTTTTGTTTAAGTTAATATTATTTGTATTTAATTACATTTTAGAGGGAGAAGAAATGGTTGTAATCCGAGGATTTAATTTCCTATGACGTCAGCCTTACTTCACAAGTGAAGTGAGTTAATAAAATGGTTTCAAAAGAGCAAAGCTCATATTATGTGATTTGCAGTGCTTACTTTAAATAGGTAACTCGTTCTGTGTTTTGTATCTGGATTATAAATAAGTGAATAACATAGCTATATGTAGTACAAGTAATTAATGAGTTTTACTAAAAACTTAGCTGTAAAAAGAAAAGAAGAAAAACAAATAATCTATAGCATTGGTAGGATTAGTATTCAAGCATTTTCTAGTGTTCAACTTAGCTTGTTGATCCAAAATAAACATGCTAGTCTAGACTGATTAAAATGTACTTTTATGTAATACATGGTATAAAAATTCTCATAAATTTACTAACTTATATATCAAGACACCCTCTTTAATTTGCTCAATCATAGTTGGTAACACCTAGAGCGTATGATACAACAATGATTATACCAATTTGCGTTGTTTCTCAGTGAGTTTGATGGCTGGCGAGTTTATACAACAATGATTATACCTAATTCGATATAATACAGAAAAGGGAAATATACCTTTTAATTTACAAGTAAAACTAGAAGTAGCACATGCAACTATATGTGAGTATCAGCATGTCAAATCCCAACAATAAGAAAGATTTTCGACCGAATTATATCTCAAATATGTCGACGCTGGCTTTATATCAATATGTCCCAATTTGATCCGAGTTTGACTAGTTGATCTGACTTGATTTTATCACTTATATAGAAACTGATCCAACACACCCAAAATCTAGCTGACTAAAATTATTGAACCGAAAAATCAGACCGTTAGTCCAATCGAAGTTTTTATTCAGTAAGTAATTGCTGTAAATTCGATTGAATATTACAAATACTTTTTAATGATATATCGCCACAATATTGATATCTTATTATTTAGTGGTTTGTACGATCGATCAAATCTAACAGAATATACGCCACAAGATCACAAGAGAGTTGAATACAGATCAGTAGACCACACAACATTTTTTCGTGTCACTAATTGGCTATCTCTATATGCATGCCACATAAACACATTAACTTATGTCGATGCATGATAGTTACAAAGTTATGAGGAAGCAGTACTGAGAGAGCTATTTAACTGTTAATTAGATGTTAAGTTTTCTTGTTTTAAGAGATCGATTCATGGTGGCATGGTGGTGGCTGGTACATTTATATTTAGTCATTTCAGTAGTTGTATGGCATTCGCTTAGTTAGCCCGAAGAATCAATATAGCACAAATGCCACAAAATCTAGTCTATATGATCCAAGTATATATATGAATGTGTAACCAATGAGGTACTTAAAGTTTTTCCAGATTTTCTGGCAATCGTGGAGACAGTATATGTAAATGCATGGCACATGCGGATATGTCCAGTCCAGCTTTGGTATGATAAGGAGACACACAAGTGTTCGTTTTGTTATGTTTTCACATCACTTCCCTATTTGTGTGGCGAATGGGTCCAGCTTCTTCTTTCACTTTGTTGCCCACTTGGCCTATACACACCCTAACTTTGCCATTTGTTTCTTAATTGTTTTTAATATATAAAAAAGACAATTCCATGTTTTTTTGTTGTTGTTTTGGTCATAAAATATCTCGAGCCCCTTTCACGAATATCTTTGAGTATAACCCACAAAGATTTCAGATTTGTACCTACCGTTCCATAAATTATTATTATGCCCCTTCATTAAATAAAGTATGTAAAGACCAAAACTAGGACTTCACAAACTTTGTTTTTAAACTCAAATACTAGTGATGAATAGATCAGATATATAAATCTAGTGCTAAAAATACGGAATGGGCTACAAATATGATCTTATTAAAAAGCCCACTGGACTATAGTTAGAGCCCACAAAGGATACTTATCTTGTAAACAAGCCAACAACCAAAACCGCTTTCGAACAGCTTTTTCGATCATATCATTTATCATTTTCTCTGCTTCATCTCTCTACTCTCACACGAATCAAAGCTCAAACCCAGAAAAGCTCGCGAAGATGATGCACATGACCTTCTACTGGGGAATCAAAGCTACGATTCTCTTCGATTTCTGGAAAACCGATTCATGGCTCAATTACATCCTCACTTTGGTCGCCTGCTTCATCTTCTCCGCCTTCTACCAGTACCTCGAGAATCGCCGCATCCAATTCAAATCACTTTCCTCCACCCGTCACCCTCCGCCTCCTCGCACCGGCGTATCCGCTCCTCTCATCCCCAAATCGGGTACCAGATCCGCCGCTAAAGCTGCGTCGGTGCTGCTTTTCGGCGTCAACGCTGCGATCGGTTACTTGCTGATGCTGGCGGTTATGTCCTTCAACGGAGGCGTTTTCATCGCGATCGTCGTCGGATTAACCGTCGGGTACCTCTTTTTCAGATCTGAAGACGGTGGAGCTGACGCGACGGCGGAAAATCCCTGCGCCTGTGCTTGATTGATTGACATCAGAGTGTGGATCGGAAATCGGAAATTCCAAAGGTGTGTTTGATGCTTGTAATTCGATTACAGTTTGTTATGGTGGATCATGGATCAATGGATCTCTGAGAATTGTTTATTATCTGTATAATTAGTTTCCTTTGTTGCCTGCCTTCACCAAACGCGATTATCAATCTGAATGCGTTTCTGGGTTTGGACAATAATGTAGAAACTGTTATAAAAAAAAAAAAAAAACTTGTAATATAATACTCTGTTCTTTTGTTAGCAAAAATTCGAACCTTTCAACAAAAATTAGACCTTTTGAGATTGTGAAGTCTACTCATTTGGTTGCGTATTGTGTGTAGTTGGAGTCTCAAATGTTCTGATTTTAGATTACAACACATCACCTACAAGCTCCTTCGTTACATTACATGTAGTATGGTTTCATTTCATATTATTATTTGAAACAAGATCAACATATTGTGGATTCGCCATGAATGTAGTCGAGAATGGCGATGACACCGAAGATGAAAGCTTGATCCACGTTTGCTTTGACTATTACATGATAAAGATCCTTCTTGTTCCCCACCATTTCCTCTATCTCTTTCTGTGTTCTTATCTGTATAATTATTATTGTTATTATTATCAACAAGACCTCCACGGCTTTAACAACAACGAATATTAAATTTAAAACCATTCAACAATAATTCGTCAGAAATTTGGTTATTGTCGATGAATGTCCACGACAATGCCGTAAAATTTATTAACAAGATCAAAATTAGTAACTAAGTGGTTCAATAATGGTCACCTGAGCTATGGATCTGCCATCTGAATTCATGATGTTGCAAGCTCTCTCTGAGAAAGAGCCTTTGATCTCGACATAGTTGTTGTTATTATGGATGTTGCGGGTTGATGATATCTTCGGTTTACCGTGAACCAGAATTCTGATTGAACCGTGTTGAACCAGACATGAATCTTTTGGGTCCTTCAAGGTGAAAACCAGCTTCTGTTCTCCTTCGTTGTCATATCCAAAACCTTCCCATTTCTTGTGTACCATGTTCAGTGCCTGGACCATTCCTCCCTGAAGTGATTACCCACAAAATCCAAGTAAAATTTCAACTTATTGTATTAAGGTGAATTCAAGAGAAACAGAAACCTCAAATAAAAGATTCACATTTTGCACTCAGTTTCATAACAGGGCGACCTGAAATTTGTGTGGCCCTAAGCTTAAAATAACTTGTTGTGTCTTGTAATTTTTTGCAAAAGAGTGAAGATCAGAGAGAGCTTAAACTATTTACATATATAGAACGATTATGGTAAAAGTTTAACCAAGTCTAGTAATTGTTTTGGAGAAGGATAAGTGGTCCCAAAGTTTAAAATATAATAATGTATGGTCCCAAGCACAAATTTCTCCGGTTTGCTCTCAGACAGGTCGTGTTTCCTAACTTATTTATCTCCATCAACAAATGTCATAACTAGTGAAAATTAAACAAATTTTTTAAAATCAACAAAATTTGTTTTTATATGCATGTTGAACAGTTTTTTTTTTTTTAATCTTTACTCAGAATGGTTAGTTAAAAAAAGATCGTCTAGACAGATTTTTGACGTAAAGAGATGTTACAATAGCAAAAAGAAAATTAATAAGAAGACCCCCTATGATCTCATTAGCATGCATAACCAAATAGCTCAGTTGATTGAAATAAACAAAGTAATCAAAACAATTTTGGTTACCATTTTGCGGATGAGAAGCAAATCATCACCATCACCATTTCTCAAGAGAAGCTTCCCTTTGGTTCCAAGAACTCCACACCCATCAACCCTAAACAATACTTGTTGTTTGCTATTGCTCACTACGAATCCTCCTCCATTCACCATATGTGGTCGTCGTCGCACAACCAGAACCGCCTCTGATTCCGACGAGTATCTCCGGCTCACCACCGGATCCACCGCCTGGCTGCTTCTCGCACCCATCACGTCTATATACACACGTGCGTTCTAGTGATTTACAAGTAATACTTGACCTCTTTTTTTTTTTTTTTTTGCTAAACAATACTTGACCTCTTAATCCTTTATATATAGATACACTTCAGCACTTGTATATGTATACTTGATCAAGTTGCTTAGTGTTAATTTTTGTGACAAAGACTTTAAAAGCTCAATGAGAAAGATGCTAAGTATCTATTTTTGTGTGAAAAGGCTTCAAAAGCTTAAAATTTAATAAACGTCAACTTGAATATAAAAAATGTGATGCGAACTTATTGGTGTGAGTGGGCATTTCTAAGGCTAAAATGAGATGCGATGCGAACATTTGAAGATCTCATCTTAATGCGACCGAGGCATTTTCTTCTTTATTTCCTTTGGTTTATTAATCTACATGACTACATTTTATTTCCTTTTTATGTTTCTCCACTGATTATTAGAAAAAAGTTTTAGTTTCTCACTTCCTCTAACATAAAAAGATTATCGTAGAAGCGAGATAGGTCGAAATATGTGAAAACTAGCGAAAATGAACTTAAAACGGGGGTATGCAAATAAGGAAGCACGAAGCACTTTTTGTAACTGAAAAAGTTAACACTTTTTAAAGCCTAATTTTCTCATACTTACACATGCATATGCAATTTAAACAAAACTATATCCCAATTTTAATTAAGAAAGAAAGTGCAAATTAACAAAAAATGAAGATTTAATTTTCCGAAAGTAAAGTTTGCAATCAAAGTTTAAATGATACTTTAGTTTTTTGTTCTTTCTTCGTTGTTTAATAAGACTAGGAACTATATGTACAACAATTCAATAATACATTTTCTTATATAGTCCAGCACCGAAATGAAAGGTTAAAATAATAAAAGTTCAAAAATCAAAGAGACACGGAGCCTTAAAAGGGGCAGAGGAAGGAAAGTAATTATCCTTGTCAGCTACCATAATTACTGCTTCTGCCACCCACCCTCCTCTCTTCTCCTCTTTCTTCTGCCCTACTATACTCTCTCTCTCTCTTTCTTTCTTTCTCCTTTGCATTGTTTTTCTCACTCGCCACTTCTTCTTCTTCTTTTGTTTTATTTCCTCTCCTGACTTACTGCATGCTTTTCTCTTGACTCAAACCCTTTCTCTCTGGAAGTTATACCGGAGAAGAAGACAATGTCTGCTCCTTCTTGCGGTGGCGGAGGACAAGGAGCCGGTGGAACAGGTTCAGCTCTTGCTCCTCCGTCTCTACCGCCGCCTCGTCCCAAGTCTCCGCCGGAGTATCCAGATTTGTATGGGAAGCGTAGAGAGGCGGCGAGAGTTCAGATGCTAGAGAGAGAGATTGGTTTTCTCGAGGCAAGTAATTACGTTTTTTCCTATTTTAAACAAAAAAGTTACCATCTCTCTGTTTTGTTTTTTTTTTAATCTGCCATTTTGATTACTCTGAGGAAGTGTCCGAATATTTTGAATTCATTATTCGTTTGTTTTATTAGTCTTAAATAAATGGTACTAGCATGTACTACTGTACTAACTTCCAATTAGATACTTAATTTAGTTTTCTTTAGTCACATTATTAATCCCTTACTAAGCTTTCTTGTGTAAATAATCTCGTAACTTTGAAGAGAATTTTTGAAATAGTTATTACTATTTTAAGAGAAAAGAGGTTATTGATTTGCCAAAACTTGGTCCCTACTATATCCAGGTTGGTTTGGACTCTGGACTGTTGTGTTATGCTTCACAGCAATTATAGAAAACTAGACATTTAGTCTCTTAGATGCTATCAAAAAGAGTAATTAATTTCTGTCATCAGACACATCTATATCAAATTAATTTCAAACAAGTACTACTATATTATGGTATTTTTCTCATGTCCTTGGATGAAGAACTTTGCCTTTTTTCTATAGTATATTTTTTTGGTCGACAGAATTTTGCCTATTTTAAATTAATGAATGTTTTAATTAAACATTACAATTTGAATCATATATAAATTATCGCATTGTTAATTAGGGGGTTCTCAACGGATCTATTGACTATAGACTAAATTACTTGGGTTCCTATGCTTTAATTTAACCTCTAATCTAAGCTCATTCATTTTGATTATAATGTTCAGATTAATTAGCTTTCTGTCCTTAAACTTAGAAAAATAAATATTTGTTGTATAAGATGAAAAAAGTTGATGATCTTGTAGTGTGAAGTGATTGATGAGACGCCCATTTACTCTGTTGCGTGCATCACTGAGGCTATGTGTTCGTGCATGTGTACTATGAAAGTGAGTGCTTAGTCAAAGAGAGTATAAAAAGGAAAATATAAAGAAAAAGAAGAAAAGTAAAAGAACGAATCATTGGAAGTAAAGTATAGAAATCTGATTAGATCTTAAGAAACAAAAAATGAATTTGGTTAGCTTCCATTGCATTTTCTGTTGTTTTGCTTTTCCATACCAATCAATTTGTGAAAGTTTTGTTTTTTATTGCTATCTGCGTTTGAAAGGACCATAACCTTGTTCACCTTTTTCTTCATGCTACTTTCCTCCTACCTCCCCTATGTTAGCTCTCTATAATGCATATTTTCATATATTTGAGAAATTAAATCATTTTCACACAATTTATGTTTTGCTTCTCCTGACAATTTAGAAATGTGAAATTCTTGTTGTGTTGTGTTGTGTCCCATTATTGTCTTGTGAAATTAGATTTCCAAGCAAATACACTTTCGGTTAGTTAATGAAGTTTCTTAACCGATATTATGAATGTCCTCATGAGCAGGGGGAAATAAAATTCATCGAAGGCATACAACCAGCTTCTAGATGCTGCAAAGAGTGAGATGATCTCTCTGTTTCTTAAACATTGTATCATTCTTGATTCAGCTAAAGAAATATGTTTATGGAATTTAATCTAAAGTTAAATATTTTCTTATTGTGACAGGCTTTCTGATTTTGTGGTTGCAAATTCTGACCCATTGATCCCTGCGTAAGAATATCTCTATAATTCACTCAGTGACTTCACTTTTCTCATTCTGCTCGCTCTTACATTTTTTTTCATCCGGACAGACAACGAAAGAGTCGAAGGTCCTGCCGGTTCTGGAAGTGGCTCTGGTAAGAATTTTACCGCTCCAATAATTTCTCATTCTCATCGTGGTTTATATTTCCATGCGACCATTGTAGGGTAACTGTCAGGGCCGTCTAATAGAGCAGGCAACTGCTGCCTTCTCACATGCTCTTACTTTCAAAATTATTTACTTTTTAAAGAAATTTTGAATATCAAATAATTGTCAGGGTCCCCTGAATTTTCGAAAATAATTCATTTACAAATTACAAGTACATATAAAAAATTTGCACAGGAGGTCAAAAATAGTTTGAGACACTCTTTAGAAATTTAGTTAGTCAGTGCTTGGTCTTAGATGGTTAGAATGACAAATATATTATTTATCTTACAAAGTGATACTAAATTATCAACACGATGCAGTAGCGGTATACCGTGTTTGAGCCTGGCGAGTTTCTGCTGTTGCTGCCAGTCCGAGTGTTCGTGCCATCTGAGGAAGCCCAAGTGCTGCAACTGCACAAGTTGCAGCTGCATTGGGTCCAAGTGCTGTGACGGGTCTTGCTGCTCAAACGGCTGTTGTTGCCCGAGACCGAGCTGTCCAAGCTGCCCGAGCTGCTCATGCTTCCGAGGCTGTTGCTGTTCTTGTCCGGACTTCTCTTGCTGCATTCCCAACTGTTTCCGCAGTTGCACTTGTCTGAGCAAGAAGAAGAGCTCATGCTGTAGCTGCAACTGTAAGATCAGATGGTCATCTTGTTTTAGATGTCCCAAGGTACGACTTTGTTGTTGTTTTTCCAACTGTAAAAATCTATGCTCTGATCCTTGTTGTTTGACTTTCTAAGCGTTGTTATTAGTCATATTCAAAATAATTATAGCTATTTTTCTCTTTTAATCATATATTTGTTCCTCTTTTTTTCTGTACCTGTTGAGTCTTTTTTTTTTGTAATAAAATTGTGAATATTTGTTTGTTTGTTTTGTTGCAAGTGATGATCTCAATCAAGCGAGCCTCTCATGGGATATGCTGTATATACACAAATAATGTGAATGTATGACCAGATAAAAACAATATATTAATTGAGAAATCACAACTCTCGTGGTTCGAACAATAAATACATAAGTATCGAAATAAAAGTACGTATGAATTTTATTACGTATTCTTACAAATCCATTGCACAGTGAAAAAAAATTCAAAAAGAATCAAACACACGTAAATCAACTAAATAGTCGGCTTATATTAAATCCACCCTACGGCAAGGTACCAAATTTTGCGGGTTTTACGGTACCGATGGTAACGAAATAAAAGAGTAAGAGACTAAGAGTAGTGTCCATAACCTTTCTATTGTACATACCACACTGATCTTCCCATACTCAAAATAGTGATGTTCATTACTCTCTTAATCTTCCGTTTTGTTTTGAGATCCATCAACGATTTTTTTTCTTCTTCTTGATATTTGCTTCTTTGGTACGATTTGTTAAGTCTTCGATCAAATTTGAGATATGTTAAACTCACCTCTCACAACAGTAGTATGAAGGTGAATGCACGCAAGGATTACCTGGCGAAAATTAACTACAGTTTGATAGTTTCTTGGATCCTAAACTAAATCGGTTAAGCAACGATATCGATATACTCACGGTTTACCTTATACCGGCCAGTCTGATATCAATCAGAACTGAATACCAGATTATAACCAATTCTTACGATATTTGTAGGACACAACCAGATACAAAATTGACGAAACATGTACAACAGAGGATCCGACATAACATTCATTGCTTCTGTCCGATAGGTTTCCAAAAAGATGTTAGAGATATTTGTATTAATTGCTAAACTATATTCTTTTTTTGATAAAAGAAGTCAGAGAGAATAATTCGGCAGAGGTAAAAAAGATAGATTTCGTGGTGAAAAAACAAATAAATTTTTTAAAAAAGTCGTATAGGTTTGCGTAATAATTGATCAAGGGTTTCTGGGTTTGTACGGTACGGATCTAACTGTGGATCAGAAGTCAGAAGTGAAGGTCTTTTCTACTTTTCTTTTATCTTTCATTCTGAGTTTTTATTGTATTTAGAGGTCCCATCGAAAGACTGATGTGTTGTCTGTGTCAAGAGGAAAAAGAAATAAAAAGAGGGGTCGAAAACGAAAATAGAGAAAAAATTAGGGTACAAAATAGTGTCAGATAGGTGAGAAAAATCAGAGGAGTGGACCTCTCTGCAAAGAAAAATTATTCAATGCAACTTTGTCAATTTTATCATATGGCTCGATGCATTATGTGAACTCTATACTGACACTCTCCCGCTTATTGTCGTCGGTATTTATATCATTCGTGTCATTCACAATTATTGTTTTCCTAGTTAAAAAAGTCTCCAGATGAATGATATCAATATTTTTTACATTCATCAATAATCCAAATATTGACTTTGATTAGAAGAACTACACGTTTAATTATATGCTTAATCAGTGGTAAGACTAATGGAAACTCTAGTAGTGATTTCTTTCACATTTTCTTATGCAGTTTCATTACTTTTTACTCGTTGCCTAGTTTTTGTTTTCGAAATGAATGTATTTATATTTGGGCTTGGGCTTAACCTACCCTTTTGTATACGTTAGCTGAGAGTAAGGCCCAGATTTTATGCAGCAAACCAAGGAGAGAGTGCAACAATATTTTACTGAATTCAAGAAGCCCATGCATGAACCAATTTCTTCTTTTTTGAGTAGGAGGTTCTAAACTGAGTCCATATATTTCTACGTCGGAGATTAAACCCTGTAATATGATTCTTTACCAGGTGATGGTTGAACCTTTTTACTCCATGTCTAAAGATCTCTTGGTCAACCAAGTTTGCTAATGCTATGTGCATTAGCCATCTCTTATACACTATACCGATTATTTTTGTCAAATAATTTTTCTATCGTTGACAACTCACGCACATATACAGTATCAGGTTTAAACCCTTCTTCTAACCAATTTGCTACATTAGTAGGTTATATTGTGATAAGTAAAAGAAGAGACGGTTTAAAATACCCATCAAAAGAGAGGAAAATAGTAAAATGCCCTGAGCAAGAGGCAACGTTGAAGAGCCACACAAATTTCAAAGATGATGAGATTATAGGATAAGAAACTGTACAGAGGAATCCAAAATAAGAAAAGGAAGAGACATTTTTGCTCTTTACTCAAAACTGGACCACACCAATCTCTCTTCTTCTCCATTCCTTTCGATTTTTCCATATCTTCTTTACACAAATATCCAATGAAAAGTGGCTCCTAGATATTTTGTTTTCTTTAGAAGACCATTGGGAGCTTCTAAAAGTTTTTACCCTTCAAGCTTCGAGTTCTTACAACGTTGTACATTTTTATTTGTCAGATCAAATTAAACCTGGAGGGTAGTTCAAAACAATGAGTTTAACTTTCTTAATGCCAAACTATTACTGTATATCTAGTTCTAGAAAAACCACATGCTAAACAATCTCCACAACGTTAAGATTCGAATCGAAACATACAAATGACACTAATTAGGTTTATAGGCCTAATTGGAATTCAGGTCTGAATGCACATTGTCATCATTTCTTAGAATCCTAATGTTTTAATTTACTGATGTACGAAGATCACTTTTTGTTTTTCTTGTAACTTATAAAAAATCCCTGTTAAATTTATACACTTTGCATGAAACAGATGATTAATCTCTTTCGCCAGTTGACTAAAACACTTTCTCAAAAACTTTTTTTTTAACAATAAAACCAATTATCACCATTCTCCAAACTGACAAAAATCTCTGACATGATATACCCCATCAGAGCCATGTGAGCTTTTTCCCCACGTAAGTACACCCAAAGTTCACATGCATGCAATGATAACAAAAAAAGATCTCTCTGGCTAGCTTCAAGACCATCCTCACGTTAACCATATCAATATCTTACAAGCCTCTATATAAACCAGACGGCCTCTTTCTCTGCCTCACAACTTCAAGTCTCTTGTCTAACTCTTAAAAACAATGAAAATGATAATCCATATCTTCTTCATCCTCTCCTTGGTTTCATCCATCTCCTTTGCCTCTGTTCAAGACTTTTGTGTAGCTGATCCAGAGGGTCCTCAAAGCCCAGCAGGATACTCTTGCAAGAACCCCGACCAAGTCGACGAGAATGACTTCGCATTCTCCGGTCTCGCCAAAGCCGGAAACACTTCAAACCTCATCAAAGCCGCCGTCACTCCAGCCTTTGCGCCTGCTTTCGCAGGTATCAATGGCCTTGGCGTCTCATTGGCTCGTCTTGACTTAGCCAGTGGAGGTGTCATTCCTCTTCACACTCACCCCGGTGCTTCTGAGGTTCTTGTTGTCATACAAGGAACCATTTGCGCCGGATTTATCTCCTCCGCTAACAAAGTTTACTTGAAGACTCTCCAGAGAGGCGATTCTATGGTGTTTCCTCAAGGGCTTCTTCATTTTCAGCTTAATTCTGGTAAAGGATCTGCCTTGGCCTTTGTTGCCTTCGGAAGCTCCTCCCCGGGACTCCAGATTCTACCATTTGCTCTGTTTGCAAATGATTTGCCGTCGGAACTTGTTGAAGCCACGACGTTCCTTAGTGATGAAGAGGTTAAGAAGCTTAAGGGTGTGCTTGGAGGAACTAATTAAGCTTCTCTTTCGTTTTTTTTGTGTGTGTTTGTACGGTTTAAAAAAAATTCTGATTTGTTCCTAATGGTTGTTCTCTTTTTCTCTTGTATTGTTATTGGTCTCAATGTTTCATGTTATTCTCTTTGGCTTGAATTCTAGCAAGTAATAAGCATTACATTGCAAATGTCTAAGGTGATATGATAGAGCTTACGTTTTAATTTTTTAAGTACTCCAAGTTAGAAGAGGTTCTTGTTTGTTCGTTATTTCTTCCATTGCTCTCAATGAGAGCCTCTCATAATTGTACCACAAACAGCAATTAGTTTGATCCACAAACCTCAAACTACACACACATAAAACGTCACCTGCACACCAAATAACACTACTTTTTTTTTTACTTATCAATCAAAACACACAAATTAGACACACAGACTACTTCTTGTTTTCCAACTTCTGTTTCATTTTGGCATTATCACATTCGGATTTCGCACGTGTGTGTTCGACTTTCCCATTTTCCCAAGCTCTTTCCATTTAGACCGAGAACCAGAGACGCTCCACAATTTATCACCAGGCTTTGTAGAAGCAGATTTTGGTTTCATAAGAGGAAGCTTCTTGTTCCCTTTCCCCATTCCGTTAGCCAACAACCACCTTGAACCAGACTGCACCTGCTGCTGCTGTGTCGCGACCCCACAGGGCTTCTTATCGGTCTCGCTCTTCATACCAGTCAGATGCACCTCTGAGATTTTGTACTGAAAGGCTCCTTGTTCCTCCATCGTTTTCTCTTCTCTGACTTCCTCACACCCCTTGCTTTCCTTCTCCTCTCCATCTAATTTCCTCAGCTCTGAAACTGTACTGTAGATTATGGGCTTTGGAGGGACGAACAATCTCTCAACTTGGCAAAGAGAAAGCATAGGAGCACCAACTGGCTCATAGTTTCTTAGCGGATCTCGAAGTTGCACCATTAGTGCTACGGTGAAGTTATTCCCCAGTAAACCGCATTTCCTTCCTTTTAACCCTTTACGGATACAGTTTAGTGGGTTTGCATGATGAGCAGCCAAAATTTTCGACGTTCGCTCATTTATTTCTTCTTCGTCGCCAGTCTCACCTGAATCCAACTTTATCCACTCGTCAAGAGTCAAGGAGAGTCCCATTAAACCGTCATCATCATCTTCTAGACCAGTGAACCCACTTTTCCCCTGGAAGACTGAGACCTCTCCGGTAGACTGTGCAGGGATGTATGAGGGTGCATCGTCATCTGACATTCCTGATTGTATTCTCAACCCTTCCAATGAAAGTGCTTCAATCTGATCCATAGCCAAAGGAGCAAGATCTTCAAGTGATACATACTCTGAATCAAAGTTCTTGTTGCCAGAGCTTGAACCATGCATTTTCGGCTTAGCTGCAAATGATGCTCGTCTCCTCACAAAGGCAGCTTCATCATCAGGTTTATGCTCTGATCTATGACCCCTGCGTTGAGATGATAAACCAAATACAATACCAGCTTGTAAGAAAAGCTGTTTTAAGCACAATTGTCAAGTAAACCTTTTGTTAAATCAAAATGGAGTGATGATAAAATTGATGCAAACATGTCCACACCGTCGATTGCAGGTGAAGATTCCCACAACACCTCTTCCATGGTTTTCCCTGATATATCGTCCAAAGGCATTACTCTATTTGCCTGCATAGAGAGCTTTTCAGTTCCAGCAGTGGCTAGCCTCTGAAGTATCTCCACGATACCAGAGCCCATCGCAGCAGGCACCACCACTGGAGTTGACACTTGCATGATCAAGCTACCTCCAGATTTAGAGTTCCTGAAGAGTAAGGGACTCATTGACCGCAAAAACCCTCCATTCTTTGTCTGCACAACTGGACCTAGACCATCTCCTAGAGGAGGCAAATCAAATGGCTCCTTCACTGGAAAGTCAGCTTGAGAAAACGCATTACAATCATTGTGAGGTGGAGAGTTCTGAAATGTGTTTTCACTCATACCCCACTCACGCATCAAAATTTCAGTTTCCAAGTCTTCCAACATTTTGGCCCTGGTGTGGCCGACTCTTGCTTGAGTTTCCAACTGGTACTCTTCTTCTATATCATGAACGAGGGATGTCAGATCGATATCTGATTCATACTCTTTCGAGAAGTTTTCATCACATTCCATTTGGGGATCATCAGCTTCAATACTAAAACCAAACAAAGAATTGGCCGCTAGAGTTTCCATTTCAAACCCTCTTAACAGTCGCTCCCTTGGGGACTCAGGTTCACTCTCAGAGCTTAGACCAAAAGGGCTGTGTTCAATGCCTAACATGTCTAAGAACTCTCTCGAGCTTGATGGTGTCGCTTCCTTATTTGGTGTTCTAAAACATGTTTCTGCGTCTCCATGGTTTTCTTCATCTTCCTCGTCTTCTGACGCCGTTGCTTCCAACATTTCTACACTCTTCAAAGCTGATTCAAGATCTTTCATTATCATTTCTTTCAAGTCTCTCTCACCCTTCATTGCCTCTTCATCATCTCGAGGAACAATACTTTCCTCTTCCTTTGGAGAAACATTGCACCCCTCTTCTGGAAGCATATCTTCTGTAATAATTCCAACAACTTCCTCACTTCTGGTAACAGGAAGTTCACCAGCCATCTTTGATTCCTCAAAAGAAACATCAGTTTCATTCTTGTTCACCAAAGGCTCTTCTGCAGGCAAATTTCCTGTAACAACTTCCTCAGTTCCAGTAGTAGGAACTTCGCAAGCTTTCTTTCTACCCTCAAAAGGCAAACCAGTTCCATTCTTGTTTATCAGAGGCTCCTTACTTTGATGTTCATTTGCTTCAATGTGTTTCGTGACAATGTCAAATTCGAACTGAGACTCAGCTGCTCGATCCACCTTCTCCTCACCAACAACAGTGTAACCAAAGCTCATGCTTAGAGTGGCACCACTAGCCTTTCCAGTCAGCTGAAATGTTGTTGACCACTTACCCGAGCTCTTCCCATCCTGCAACTCCTCAAGTGTGAGAGGAAGCAATCTAGTGGGATCCATCCGATGCTTCCCCAGATCGACCTCAGGAGATCCAACTAGAGAAGCATACAGCAAGAAAGGCTTAGCTCCATACTCCGCTGAGTGATGTTGTCCACTTCGGCTTCCATAAACTGAGCATGTACGTATCAGCTTGTCCTTGAAATCAGCTCTTCCATTCGAAACTTTTACAGCACGGGTGCTTAACGATTCGTCACCACGACTTTCCCAGTGAACAGTGAGATAAAGATCGTGGAATATTGGGGGTAACCCGTCAATGGAGTGGACTTGAGCAGAGAAACAGCAATGGAATCGGGGTTTGCGAACATGAGAAAGGGCTCTGAGAGGCCATTTCCAAAACGATTTCTTCTCCTTCTGAGGCTCAGCCAACTGTGTACGACCCAACGGCTTTACTGAAGTGTTATTAGGACCAGCCACTGAGCTCCTAGGATTCTTGTTCACATACAGAGCTTCGCTTATCGTCTCGACCTCCTTCAAAAATTTGCGGCTACTAGAAGACTCCTCACTGTTAACTTTACTCATCCTGTACTTTGAAAACATTGAGAACCCCAGAGGATGAATCAAAATGCACAAATCTGCATAAACAAGTTTTTTCAGTATCAGAACATGTAGAGTGAGCCTAGGGTATATAACACGAACTCACACAGATTTACATAATCAAACCCGTTAAGTATTGGATAGTGTTAGCAATAACTCATTCTCTAGTATTGGTCTTGAGGAAAAATTCTCATTTTCAAAACGAAGAAATCGGAGTCATCCTCTCTCGGCTCTACAGATATAGTCATCTTCAATCACTTGCGTTAAGGGAGAAAGAGACGTGAGCTTTGCAACAAGCTCGAATGACTAATTTGCAGGTTTTCCAACTTTTCTAGTGATTCGAAAAGAAACTTAGAATTATGATTACAATCACGTAATTTTAATATTCGCGTCATTCGAGATAGATCCAATTCGAACGATCGATGCAAATAGTCGAAATTAAGCAACCCAACATCATTGAGTTCAGACGAAAAAAAATCCACGAAAGCAAAGAAGATGGAGAATTGGAGAAGTAGAACTAACCGGCTTGTCTTGGTGGTGGCTAGGGAAAAATTCGTCTGTGTGGAAGCTTGCAAGAAGAGAAACTGGTGGAAGGGCGCGTCGGAGGAGGAGACGAAGTACACAAGGAGCCATTTCCGTGTTTTATTTCATTTTTCATATTTCTTCCCTTTGTTTGATTCATTCCATTGAACGTTTTCATAATATCATTAAAGTACTTATAATTAAGGCTATTTCCTGCAATCCGCCTACAAATATTATTTTAGTAATATACAACCCTCGTGTTAATTATACTTTTGACGAAATTTCCAATAAGTATCTCAGATCAAATCTAAAATCGACTAATATTAGGAGAAAAATGTAATGCGGAACAAAATTATTAGGAGGGAAAAAAACAATCAAAAGATGAGGGTTACAATGTAAAAAAGGAGAAAATGAAAGAAATAAAACCTAAACCCTAATCCCTTTATACATCTTCTCTCTCTCTCTCCCAATCGCAGAAGCTTGCCGTCAAATTCCTTCTTCCTCAGAAACCGATAGCAATGGGGAAACGGAAGCAAGTTGCGCAGGCTCAACAAGCCTTACCCATTGAAGAACATTGCAAATCGCTGATAAAAAAGCTTGCTTCTTGCAAGCAGACCATCCGCGACAGATCTCTGCGTACTGTTCTTCGCACTTGGCTCCCCGAACAAACCAAAATCTCCGATGAAGACATGAAGAAGCTATGGCAAGGCATCTTCTACTGCATGTGGCACGCCGATAAGTCTCTCTACCAATCCCAGCTCATCGATAGCCTCTCCTCTGCTCTCCAATCCCTTCCTCTCCCTCTCTCTCTCCACTACTTCACCGTCTTCCTGTTCACCATGCGCCGCGAGTGGTCGCGCATCGATCGGCTCAGGTTAGACAAGTTCTACCTCTTGATTCGCAGGTTCCTGCACGAATTCTTCTCTCTCATCGACAGCAATTCATGGGATTTGGAATTCACTCGCCGATTGATGGTTGTTTTGTTCGACGGGACGATCCTTGCTGGGGATACGTTTCAGGGGAATGGTGTTAACTACCATATAGCTTCTGCGTTTCTCGAAGAGCTCAGGACGTTTCTTCCTCTGAAGAAGGAGGTTTTGGAGCTTCTCTTTGCTCCTTTTGTTGCTGTTTTGGGCGTAGTGAATGACAAAGTTTTGGTTGGGAAGATTAAGAGTAGTTTGTTTGATGAATTGCTGAAGAATGGGAAGAAGCTGCTTGATAGTAAGAAACCTGGGAATGATGCAGAGTCTGAGGATAGTGATGTGGTGGTTTTGGGATCCATTGCTCTGTCTATGGAGTTTGCAAAGAGGTTTTATGAATTGGGTTCTTCTCCAGATTGCCAACAGGGTAATAGGAAAGTGATATTTGCTCTTCACAATGAGTTCTTGCAGTTGGAGAAGGATATGTCGATTTCCGGTATCAAAGTCTCCATCACAGAAGTTTCTGTTCCCCGTGTCGACGATGAAGTGCCTGAGCCTAAGGTGATTGTTTTAAACGGGTCTTCTTCGAAGAAGAAGAGTTTGAAGAAATGTTCAAAGTCTAAGAAAGGCAGTGCCAAGAAGGACGATGTTGTGATCGATCTTGGTAAGAAAGATGAAGCTTTTGATGAGACTATGATATCGGATCTTCGACAGGAGTTTGAGAAGATCGCATCCGAAATGGGACCGTTGAAAGATGAGGTTGCGAGTGTCTGTGAAGAAGAAGCAGAGCCTGTGTCAGTAGCGAAGAAGAGCAAGAAGAGGAAGAGAGAGAACAAAGGGGTAGAGGGAAGTGGTGCTGTTAAAAGAGATGTAGCAGAGACGAGCTTCGCGGCCGCGAGCAGTGAGAAGAGCTCAAAGAGAGTAAGATTCGCGATGAAGAACAATGTAGTGTGGAAGCCTCATTGCCCTTTACCTCCACAAGACTTGAGGTTGCCTCCGTCTGCTACACCGAGAGGAAGTGCTCTGAAGAAAGGAGTTCCGGCTGGTCCAGTGTGGATGTCGGAAGAAGTTCCGGATGGTCCAGTGAGGGTGTCGCCTTCTCAGGGTAGGAAGACAAAGAAGAAAGTCAAACCCAACCCACGCAGAGGAGTGAAGACGATCAAGAGTCTGAAGAAGAAATCGCCATGAAAATGAAGTGTTGTGTCTGTTGTTGCTTTGCTGCTAGCTTTTTTTTTCTTCAATTTTTTTTTGTTGTAGTTTCAAGTTTTTATTACGTATTCAAAATTTTTGTTTGCTGATTTGAGAATTATCAAGAAAAACCTTTGCCATTACAGAAGAAAAACAGTTTCATTTCAGCTCCCAAGAGTGATAGATACACAAAAGATGAGGTTAAAACTACAATGATCTTCTCTTCCTAATCCTATCTACGTTGGTTGATGTATGAGCTCGACTATCAGGAATGTGCCTCAAGGAGCAAAGACGCGTAGATAAGATGGTTCCAAACATCGGGAACTCCAGGCAGACACCAGTGGCTGCAATCCTGTTTCCTAGTCGACACTTTTTTACCTTCTGTGTTGGTCTTACCGTAGATTGATGGATGTCCGTCTTTGCGGAAATTAGTCAGCTTTGTCACGTTTAGGAGGATCACAGGAATTTTCATACCCTTTATGGCTTCCTCTACGATCTTCATTTTCAAAGGATAGGAATCGAGGATTGAACCTTTCTTTACCGGTTCCTCCTCCCCGTTGCATGACCCTCCCGAGTCCCACTCGCCTCCCCTGTCCAAGCATACAATGAAGAATTTCAATGGCTCAGAGAAGAGAAAAACTAAAACAAGAGTTTACGGTGGTGCATATAAAATTCCCAATCATGATGATAAAAGTGACATGAACAACTGTTGTAACTCGTTTGTAGTTAAAATAAAAGTTTCAGTGGATAAAAGATCAAGGCTTACCGAAAATGGGCAGAGGAGTATCCGCGGTAAAATACAAGCTGCTTTTTGGGATTCACATTCTGATCGATCCATTTTGCCCACGTCTTCAATGCTCTTCTGTATGCTTCAGTCGCATCAAATTTTGGGTAGATGTAGTCACCTTCTTTGTAGTAGTTTTTCCTGCATTAGTTTTATTCATCAGGTCAATTCACCATTAGTAGCTCTTCCTTCTCTTGAAGTATTGTCATGAAACAAAATCACACGAGTAAAAGGGGATGCCCAGCAATATAATCAAGCTTTAAGATGAAACATTCAGAAGATTTTGCAACTTCAAACAGTGATTTGGAAACTTGAGAAGTCTCTGATTAAGTGTGAAGAAGGATGATAAAGCAGAAAAGGAAAGAACCATACCCTCTGGCAGTCTTTCCATGAACCCACCAATGTCCAGTGTTGAAGACGAGAATGTTAGCCCGCTTCCATCGAGCATTGCTCTTGTCAATGCGATCAATCGAAAGGGTTGGATTAGTATTTCCCTGAGCATTTGCTCTAACTCCTTCCCTCACAAGAAAATGTGACCTCACAAACTCCACTGTGCAATTGTAATCCTGCCAGGCATTGTCGATATTTTACCCTTAGCTTGATCAGGACATAAAGAAGCATACAAATTGCATACTTATCTCAATCAAAAACCGAGAAAATTCGGCAACTAATGCAACACAGGCACTTATGAGTAGAAGAGTGGACTTACTTCAAACTTGAATACAAAGTAGCCTCTTCCCTTCGTTATATTGTGGCCATAAGCCTCGTACATTCTACTTTTATCAGATAATCCTTCTCGGAGAACGCAAAGCATTGATTCAAACTGGTTACGGTTCATTGAGTCTCCAACCAAGAGCAAACTTTTACCTCGTAGCTTCACCAAGAAATCTGTAGCATTGAACCTATGTTTGGAAAGTCGATAAGAAGGGGATGAAAATCCAATACACAAAAAGAAATAGCATATGATCCATTCTGCTAATCCTATCAAGCCATGATTGCTGGTACACACATGAACTCGTTTAAAGAAAATTGCATATTCAGCTACAATTAAGATAGCTGCAACTATCTGATTCATTTATCTATACATCCACACTAACAAATGTTCAAATAGCCATGAACACAGAAGGCACAATCACAAAGCTATATGACAGTCCCTGACTTCAATTCAATCGTACGGTGATGACTTAGGAATTGAAATGCTGATCAACATTCTCTATATATTGACAATAGCTTCAGTCAGGTGTAACAATGGCGGTTTGAAATAGGAGAACAGATAAATTGGAAAAGAATCATACCGTGGAAGGTCACAACCGTCAGGCTTCCATTTCCATTTGAGATAGTCGGAATCTTTCCTCCCGTTCCTCTGGCAATCGAAAGCTTCGTCCACATAAGGACACGATCCAGGCTGATACAATGGATACTCATCGTCGTCCTTAACCCACGATCCACTGTACAAATCGCAGCCTCTAATCTTCTCAACCGCTGCATGTTCCGCAGATTCGGCATCGTTTTCCACCTCACCCTCGACGGACACTTCTCCGCTCGAGCCTCCTCCTTCTCTTAGCTCAGTTTTCTCCGTGGGGTCAACGCCGCGCGAATCTTCCACAACTTTCAGCTTAGTCCCTACCACCGCGACGTCATCGGCTCCTTCGGTCTTCGGATTTGATTTCACGGTGAGGTCACCGTCGGCATCGAGAGACGGCGTTCCCTTGGGGTATTTGAGAGGGAGATGCTCGATTTGAGGGAGGAGGAGTGGATCGGCGGTTGCGGGGAGAGGGATGTCGGCGTGGTAAGGAGAGAGGGAAGGTTCGAGAGTGCGGCTAGTGAAGATGAAGACGCTGCATAGGAAGAATACGATGAAGAGGGAAGTTGAGAGAGTGTAGGAGACGGTGGTGCGAGGGAAGGAAGGGAAATAAGAGGACGAAGAAGTCGACATTATGATGATTGTGCCGCCACCATCGGAGCTTACGCAGTGCTCATCGATCACTAATACTTTCCAATTCTTACTACTATATGAGCTATTTGGAATCCAATATTTTCTATGTTACAGTTAATTTTCCCAATTGTGTATTGTGATTGTGAATGCTTCCCAAAATGCACAAATATCTCCTCTCTCTTGGAAGTTTTGTGCCGCCAAAACTGTCTTTTTTTCTCTCTTTCTCACTTCTCATCAAAATCCACATTAGAGAGAGATTTAGATCCGTTTGTGAAAATATGTTTCACATTTGGAATGGTGATAGTGTGTGATATGATCCTAAAAGGTTAGAAATGGCGATTTGGCTCAGAAAATTCATTTTTTTTTGTTACAGTTCTTTAAATTGGATTAACAATTTAACAGCATTACACACCCTTTAATTCGGCTGATTATATAATTAAAACCAACATTTGGACCAATAACGAGGAAAATAATGTAGCAGCGTTATTGACTGTGAGACTGGTTGTTCAGAGTCATCTAATCAAATTAAAGCGCCACACCAAACATTCCATTTCCTTTTGATCTTCAAAAGAAGACGACGAGGTTAGTTACAGAGAGGGGAAGCTTTCACAGTGAAGCTTTTTCTATTTTTCCGCTTGCCCTTCACATCTCCGAAATCTCCAGATTGGGGGAAGGAATATGATTCAGCCCTAATTTCAAGCAATTTCCTCTCTCTCTCGCTCTCTCTTTACAAGTATCGGAGATTACTGTTTTCACTCCCACAAACGAAAGAAGAAAACCAAAACAAAAAATGGCGAACCACCGACGCTCTTCCTCTTTCAATCCGACGACGCAGGAAGACAATGCTATGTAAGCTCATGAATTCTAATGTATTTGTTTGAGCTCGCCATTTTGTGTGTGTGTGTGTGTGTGTATGTGTGTTTCTCGGAGATTGAGCGAAATTCCTTGTGGGCTTTGATTTTTAACAACCGAGAGAAACGGTTACGTCTTTTGGCTTCGTGATTTGATCGTTTGTTTTCCGTCTCTGTTCTAATTGAGCTCTGGGATTTCTGAGTTTGCTGTTGTGTTCAGCTTTGAAATGATCACTTTCCATTTAACATATGCCATTTATGTTCGCGCAATGATCAACATTCATAGCCAGATTTCATGGAGTTCTGTTTCTTGTAGAAATTTCCAAAGTTTTATACTTCTTGAGTTTGATCTGTAGTTTATGAGCTAAGAAGTTCAAGCGCAAAACTTGAGGACTTTCCTCTTCGTTGACAATGGTTGCTCTGTTGTTTTCTTTGTTCTCTAGTCCTCATCGTGGCTCCTTTTGATCTCTATCCTTTACTGGCTCCTCATCTAGTTCAGCACTGTTTTTGTGATTGTAGGTTTCTCGATATACTGCACGAAGCTCCTCTGTTTGGTCATCGAGAATCTAGAAGTCTTTTTGGAAGTTGCATTTACCTTATCATATTGGCAAGTGCTTCCAAACTGTACCTTTTTCTGATATTCACCAAGTTTTGTAACTTCCCTTTTTAAGAAAAATAGAAACATGAATGCCTTACATTACATTTACTCTTTGTTAAATATAGGCAGGTTATGCTGTTTTGGCAGCAGGAGCACCGTGGATACTTCAGCCTGTTGAGTCTCGTATCCCGTCGCTACTTTGCAGCTGCAATGTTGCTTTATTGATGTTAACAGGTAACCTCATGTTACCCCTTCAGCTTATCATTAATATCTAGTTTCACATATCATCTGTCTACTTCTGTTTCCTAGTCATATTTCGGCTCTAAGATATTATCTCACAGCATATATTTATAGACTACCATATGTTTTTCTGCAACAGGTGTGTTTCAGCAGTATTTTGTCACTCAGGTCCAGAAAATACGCTTGCAGGTAACTGCTCAACTTATTTCCTCTGTTACTATATAGACATAGGTTGATATTCTCTAGTGTAGTTGTAGTCATTTCATCTGAAGACCTCCTGAAAGAACCTTCTATTGCAGGGCTATTACAGTTTCAGCCAGAAATTGAAACATGTAGTTCGTCTGCCATTTGCCATCATGGCATATGGTAATCTCTTATGCTGCTTTTTCAATCATATGTTTGACGTATATCTATTTGTTTCGCTCAGTAAAGCGACTCTCTCTTGTTCTAGGAACTGCATCGATGCTGCTTTTCATGGTCTGGAGACCATATGTCAGTGTTCTTCCAATTTTAACTGTGCAGAGGTCTCAGCCTTCTTTTTGATACATTAACTGCTTTTGCATTCGTATTAGTCTTCTCTTCCACTTGATCACTTTCTGTTTTCTTTCTTGTGTCTTCGACGATAAAAGAGTTAGAGGAAGCTTCTGACCTCATCCTTTCACTTCTTCCATTCGTGCTAAGAAAATTATTACATTTGACTTAATGTACTTACAAATTTCTTAGATAAATTTGATTCCCTACAAGATTAAGAAGTCTAATATTGATGTTATTGACTAGAAAAAAAGTAACTGGAATATGACAGTGTCTTTCGTGCTGTTATTTTGGAACAACTAGTTTTTGCAAGGTCAAAAACGCTTTACGAGTACATTATTGTTGCAGGTTCATCATGACTGTTGAAGCAATTTCTGCTGCTTCTTTTATGATTGTATTTGTTGGTAAGCTTTGGGTCTAGACTGTCCAGTTGTTTTTCTTTAGCTAGGTTATTATGCAGCTCTTAACTGTGTTTAATATTTGGTAGGTTATGTTCGCCAGTATAACTCAGTGAACTCTCAACCCGATGTCTTAAATTCATTATATTCTCCCCTTCAACCAGCTGCTTTAGAAGGATTGAGGTACTTTCACAATCGCACTGGAACCTTATTCATAGTCTTCATGAAAATTTTGTTTGTCTTGCTTCATTTTTGTTTGACAAACAGATACCATGAAGCCGGTCGCCTTTCTGATCAGCAAATGGCTCTACTGCAATATCAGCGCGAGAATCTCCACTATCTAAGCGAAGAGGTGACATTACATGAAATACATATCCTGAGTACTTTTTTAATTTCTAAATCTTGATGCTTGTGTTGTGTCTTAGTAATCTACATTTTCGTAATTCGTACTGCAATCCTAACTTCAGCTCTCTCTATAATTCATCATCTACCCTAATCTGCTGAATTATCCCGTGCTTTAGCTAGAGTGAGCTTCTGACACTTTTCTCTGTGTGTTCAGATTTTGCGTTTGCAGGAGTCCTTAAGCAAATATGAAGAGTCCAATGGTAGTAGCACGCCTCAGGTTTGAACTGCTCCATTGCTTTTAGTGTTTTCAACCATTGCACGCCTCAGTTCGGAGGAATAATTTTGCAAGTAATGATTGTTAAAAATTTCAGGTTGATCTTGCACATCTTGTGGCAACTCGAGATCAGGAATTACGAACACTTTCTGCTGAGGTAAAAGCCTAGTTAACAAATGAGTTGCAGAGTCGCATGGTTAATTTTTCTTAGCCATTTGGTGGAATACATATAAGACTCATCGACATTCTTTATCCAGCATCTTCGAATGAAGGAGGATACTAAATGAAAATGGTATGTTTGTAGGTGAATCAACTCCATTCTGAGCTTACTCTGGCTCGATCTCTGATCTCTGAGAGAGATAGAGAGATACAACACGTCCGGAATACCAATAATCAGGTTTGAGTCTATCTATAAACATAAGAACATATGAGAACAGAGCATACTACCAGATCCTGTATATCAACACTGCTTCTCCAGGAAATCTCTTGCATTGAACAATTTGCAAGAACTACACATTTCCGGAATTTTTTTAATTGTTTTGACAAAAATGCTCAAAAGAGAAATTCACTGTCTTCTGTTTTAAAACTCCTGAAACAGTATGTGGCAGAAAATGAGAGGCTAAGAGCCATTCTCGGAGAATGGAGTATGCGAGCGGCAAAGGTACATTCATCTATTCTTTCTAAAGTTCTCATCGTCTCTATTAGAGGCATGTTTTAGAGATGCAAATGATTTGTGAAAGTAGTTTTGTATACAAACCTTTTTCAAACGATTCTCATTCCATAGTTTGTGGCTAACAAACTGAATGGGATGTGTAGCTTGAACGAGCTCTGGAGGTGGAGAGGATATCAAATCTTGATCTGCGGAAGAAAGTTTCGGCTCTCAGAGAGCAGAAGCAGATATAGTGAAAAAGGTTCTGGGGGTGTTCATAATATACCATCATCTAACTATATATAACTCGGATGGTTTGTACACAAATATTCTTACACTATTTTGTAAGATGTTGATACATTTTCTTGAAATATTTGATTAGAATGAAACTTTGTTTTTGTTCTAGATAACTTCAGTAACCTTTGAGGATGTATGAATTCAGTATCTTTAATATTCTGGCTATACACTACTGTTGATTGACTTATACCAAATAAAATGGATTCTTCGATGTGGGTATCCAAATTTTGTTTATTTTTTCAAAGTTATACATTATTTATTGGCTTCGGATTTTTTATTCATAAATTTTAATTCTAGAATATTTTATTTACCAATTAAAATTATTTCTCTTTTGAATAATAAAGGAGAAAATTTTAGATTATTAAATGTTTTTTTTAAGTTTAGATTTATGTTAAACTGTAGGATTATGGAAATAAACAAAAAAAGAAAATTTCAGCGGATTAAGGAAATTACGAGAATCTGAATTCCCAAAAAGCCCAATATAAAGGCGGCAAAGCCCAATGCGTATATAATTATTTCTCTTTCTCTGCGACGCTTCTTCTTCCATCCTCTGCAATCTTTGCAAACAACCTAGCTCAAACTTTCCAGATTCTCTCCTTCGGGTTTCGCAGGGTTTTCCGTTTTCCTCCCGATCACCGATCAATTCAATGGCCTCTCTCGACACTGACGTTAACATGATCCCTGCCGGAGAAGCCTCGTCTTCTACGAAGAAAGCGAAGCGGTTCGAGGTCAAAAAGTGGTCCGCAGTGGCTCTTTGGGCGTGGGGTAAGCAGCGAAATCCTAATACTCTCTTCAATTCGTCTTTCGATGTTGTTTTCATCTTTGAAATTTTGGTAATCGAGGTTTATTGATTGATTTTTGATTTTTGGTTCGTTTGTAGATATCGTTGTTGATAACTGCGCGATCTGCAGAAACCACATCATGGATCTCTGTAAGTTGCAAATTTTCACGATTGTGTTGATAATTCCGGATATTACTGATTTCCTGAATCGCTTGACTCTAACTTCGTTGTTTTGATTTGGTTGTTGTGGTTAGGCATTGAGTGTCAGGCTAATCAGGCCAGCGCCACGAGTGAGGAGTGCACTGTTGCTTGGGGTAAGTATTGTTTTCTTCTGCAATCGTTGCTTTCTGTTTCTGAAACTTGATGTGTATCTGGAAAAGGAGACCCAAATCTTGTTTTGCAGCAATCTAAGTTAGTCGATAAGTAGTGCAATTGATTAGATAGAGAGGACCAAGTTCTAGTTATTGTGTTAGCATGCTTTCGTAGTCTGGCATTGGGTTTATGATTGCGGATAGATTATAAACTCAAAGGATTGAGCTAATTCGCTGAATTGCATATCTCTGTAATCTCAATTGCTCATTGAAAAGGGACCAATATGAGGTGGAATCTGGTTTAGCTAAGAACCTTTTTTGGTTTCTTTGAAGAAAGTAGTCTGTTTTCAGTAAAGATAACCGTGAAACTGAAGTAGATATACCTAAAAAATGTTAGTGCATTGACTAAAGACAGTTTGATGTGGTAATTTGCAGGGGTTTGCAATCATGCCTTTCACTTTCACTGCATCAGCAGATGGTTGAAGACTCGTCAAGTTTGTCCATTAGGTATGATGTGTTTCTCTGTTTAAAAGGAAGATTTATGACTTAGTTTTGCAAATTTTTGTTTGCTTGATTGTTAACATTATTGCGTTTTTATGTACAGATAACTCTGAGTGGGAGTTTCAGAAGTACGGTCACTAAGTCGTGGAATCGTAGCAGCAAACATGTGTCCAACTCCAATCAAAGGCATGTGATGCTAAGACTGCTCAAAAACTTGTTTTCTGTTGGATTTTTTTTTCTTTCTTTGTACTGTAATTGGCAAGTTGTGGAAACAGAGATTTACCGGCTCACTAAACCTATCACCTTTGTGCTTTGCTTTGAGTGATTTCTTCGAATTCAATTTCTAAAGAAATTTTTATCATTTGTTAAAAACTAAAGCAATTATAAAATGGTACTAAATTTGGTCTTGTACAAGTAACAACTATTAGAGCATTATTGATAATCCACATTCTTTATAGTATAAACTTAACTCTTGCAAACAATATGGAGGATTTAAAGAGTTTATTATACCAGGGCTATGTCACAGTAAAATAGTTGACATTTTATTACTGCTTCTCAAATTCTTCACAAAGTTACTACTTTAACTATGCACCATAAAAAGTGAGTATTATTATGAATCTTGATCTTATCCCACTCTATTACAATTGGCTATCTGTTTTCTCTTGGTATAAGTTCTTCTTTAACGTTTCTTTAAGAAAGAACAAAGTATATAAAATAAAGTGTTATCGTGGATCTTGATCTAATCCCACTATATTACAACCCTTAGAGCATTATGCACTAATGCTTTGGGATAGTCTAAGAATCAAGAGTAAAATTCAAAACAACTTGTAGATGGGCTTCATATTGGTAGGATCGTATAACCCATAGTTCTGTTCGGTTCCAGCTGACTTCAGATTCTCATTGAACGTCGCAAACAGAAACCCAGTAATGCTACTGTTTGGTCTCTTTGGCGTTCCTTTACCGCTTACAACATGTTTCACAAAATTTCCGTTGTGCATAGCCGCGATCTCCGGCGTTGTTCCGTTTCCTTTACCGGCGGAAGGCCATCCGGTCTCCGCTACCACCATGGGCAAATCTTTCACTCCCTCTCTCTCCATTGCCCACAAGAAGGCATCAAACATCACATCGAACATGTTTGAGTAACCTAATGGCCCGTCTTGTACCACAACCGCATCGGTGTTGAATATGGCATAGTCAAGAAGAATGTTGGCAGGATCAGACGCGTATGCGAAGTAAGGATATATGGTGACGAGAATAGGCGTGCTCGTTTGAGACAAGTACTTCAGCACGGGAACGAGCTGTTCACGCGCTTGGGTCGTGAATTCTCCGGCAGATGGTGGATATGACGCGCCGAGGTTGTACATAGCCACCGTGGTGCTGATCAAGATCGGGAGACTCCTCGTCTTGACCAGGTCGGTGAGAGATTGCATGACGGATAGCACGTGAGAGCCGATTTCCCAGGGGATGACTTCGTTTCCAACGGAAATGAACGTAATGTTGACGTCAGCTAAGTAAGGTTCGATGTTAGTCACGAACCATGTGTTAACAGCTTCTTCGCTGACCGCAAGAGCCTCCAAGTCTTGGTTCTGAACGCCTACGATGACTCCAATGTCTCGGTTTCCGCGCAAGGCGTTGAGGACGTCCGTGTTCGTGTCGAAGATCCGAATGTTTGTGATGCCTATGGATTTGTAAAGGTTGATAACTTCATTCGGAGGTGGGAGGTTGTCTCCGAGGAGACCGTAGTTCAAGCCAAGGTTTGTCGCTGCGTCTACAAAGCCTTCGTTGTTGTTGTTGTTGAGCAGGAGTGCCATGCACGAGATCATCAACAAGAACGACTTCTTAGGACAATCCATATTGATACGTGTATCTGCAAAATCAGTAGCATTCGACATAAGTATTAGTACAATTTTATTTGAAATGTATACAATTTTCTTAAGTGCGAAAACATCAGAGTGAGAGGATCATACTTGTCTGAAAAACGGAGACGAGAGTATTGAGAAGTGGAATTAGATGATTCTTATTGATGGTGTAGGCTCTGTCTATATACAGAGAGTGAGATCTCTTTACATGGAAAGCAAATATACACTATTGACTATACCGTAAATGACGAATCATGATATGAGCAAATAAAGATATTGCCGTGATACCGCGACACATGTTTTCCATATTTCTTTCTTCTTTTTTTGTTAAAATAGAGCATAAGTACGTGCTTTTATAGAATGAACCTACAAATAAACTAAAATACCAAAGCTGCACAAATTAACGTGTAGTTTACAAGACATTCCTTCTTTTATTGTGATGTTATTATATACTCACATTATGTGAGTGAGTCACATATATGCGATGGTCCAAACAACAACAAAAATCTGTGCTGATCATTTCTCCTAGAAAAAATGTAAAACTATAAGAGAGAGTCGGTTCAAGTTGTTAAAACAGAGTTTTGGTGAAAACAAGCAGAGAAGCACGCAACTGTCTTCTTCTTCGAGTCCTTTACTTCTGTAAAACACACAAGAGTGTCGATTAAACTTGTAAATCGTTACAAAAATAACCTTTTAATCGTTACACTGTAATGTGGGTGTTTTGCTTCTATTGGAACAGCACATGGGCCTATCTTTTTCTTGCATGATAATTCAGCAGCCGGACCCAATTAAAATCTGGCCACTTCCTAATATGTTACAAGTCGGAAACGATTATAACCAAAAAAAAAAAAGGAAATTGTTCAGAAAAAGAAAAGGAGACAGGAAAGGCAAAGTCAGATAAAATAAAGGAATATAAAAGAAAACCTAATTCTACACAGGAATATATATCATATACGAACATAACAGAAAGAGAGAAAAAAAAGAGGCGGAAACAAGTAGAGACTAGAGAGAGAAGTCCGAGAATTTTGTGGTTGCTTGTACAGCAAGAAAACATGTCCAATTCGCAACCGGAGGAAAACAATTCAAGCCTATCTCCGGCGGATGTGCCAACCATTATTGAGCCGCCTCCTAATATCAGATATTACGTGGATAAAACGGCAAGTCTTGTTTCCCGCAAAGGGTCCGAGTTTGAGAAGAGGATGAAGATCAACCAAGCGGAGAATCCAGAGTTCAACTTTTTCCGGAGCACAAATCGTTATCACCCATATTACCAGCTCAAGCTTGCTGAGTACAGTGCGCAGCATCAGAGAGATCATCAAGATATGGATGATGAGCGGCCACCTCCAGAGGTCAGATTTTACCTGGAGAGAGCGGCACTTCTTGTTACCAAAAAAGGACCGGAGTTTGAGAAGACCATGATGAGCAATCACGAGAGGAATCCAGATTACAGGTTTTTCCGGAGCTCAGACCGTTATCACGAATACTACAAGAGCAAGCTTGCTGAGTACAGTGCTGCGGAGAATCCAGAAGATATCCAACTCGAGCATATTGTATAGAGTTTGTATGACTGAATGATTTGCATTATACACAATGGTGTTACATTTATACAAGGAACGTATGACAAGATATGGAAAGAGAATATTTACTAGTAAAGGGGAAATATATGTGCCGATGATATTGGCAATCATATCTCAGTCACCATTAAGAAGATATGATTGAATATCTCTGATATGCCCCCTCAAGATGGAGGGGCTTGCGAAACTCCAATCTTGCCTCGTTGTAGTTGAAAACGTGATCGATCGAGAGGCTTTGTGAGACTGTCTGCGAGTTGATCATGAGTGGAGATGTGTGAGACTCGCAATGCACGACTCTAGACCAGTTCTCGGACGAAGTGATAGTCCAACGCTATGTGCTTCATTCTTGAGTGAAAAACAGGATTTGCACATAGATATGTTGCACCGATGTTATCACAGTAAATAGCAGGTGTGGCTGTAGGAGCGATGCCAAGTTCAGATAGGAGTGAACATACCCATTGTATCTCTGCTGCGGTATTGGCAACTGCTCGGTACTCTGCCTCCGTGGATGACCTTGCAACGCCTTTTTGTTTCCTTGATTGCCAAGATATTGGTTGATCTCCAAGATAGACAATGTAAGCGTTAGTGGAGACGTAATTGTCTTTATCACCTCCCCAATCCGCGTCTGTGAACCCGTGAACATTCAAATTGTTGGATTTGCTGATGAATAACCCGTGAGTTGCAGTTCCCGCTAAGTACCTTAATACCCTTTTTGCCGCTTGCCAGTGATCAGTGGTGGGGAATTGCATATATTGAGACAGTTTATAGACCACATATGCAACATCAAGACGAGTGAAAGAGAGATACTGCAGACTACCAATGAGAGTGCGATACTCAGTAGGATTGGAATGAGGATCACCTGTTAGCGTGAGCTTAGGCGATGTAGCCATTGGTGTTTGGACTGGTTTTGCATCCGCCATGTTCATCTTTGCCAAGAGGTCAAGAATGTATTTGCGCTGATTTAGGTGGAGTCCTTTGGAGGTGCGAATCACTTCAATGCCGAGGAAGTACGAGAGAGCACCCATATCCTTGAAAGAGAAACGGTTTGCCAAATTTGTGATAACTGCTTCAACTGCGGACTTGTTGTTTCCAGTGACAATAATGTCATCGACATACACCAGCACGTAGATGAGAAGACCCTTCTGGTTCATAATAAACAGTGATGTATCAGCCATAGAATTCTTGAATCCAGCTTGAAGCAAGTAGCGTTTCAACTCCATATACCAAGCTCGAGGAGCTTGTTTTAATCCATAAAGAGCTTTGCGAAGTTTGCAGACATGATCTGGCCGATCCGGATCAATGAACCCAGGCGGTTGAGTTACATAAACATCTTCATCAAGAGTTCCCTGTAAGAAAGCGTTATTGACATCGAGTTGTCGGAGACACCAATCTTTACTTACAGCGACTTTAAGAATGGCTCGTGTGGATGTGGCTTTAATTACGGGACTGTAAGTTTCACCAAAATCAATTCCTTGCTTTTGATTGAAGCCCCGAGCAACGAGCCTGGATTTGTATTTATCTAACGATCCGTCAACCAGCTGTTTGATGCGATAGATCCATTTCGTTTCAATGACGTTCTGGCCTGGTGTCCGAGGGACGAGATCCCACGTCCGATGTGCGATCTGAGCATCGATTTTCGTCGACATTGAATTACGCCAGTGTTGTGTTCGGAGTGCCTGATTCAGAGTTCGGGGTTCGACCTGCGTGAACGGCGGAATTGTCGTGACAAACCCATATCTCCGATTGGGCTTTGTGATGTTATTTTTGAGTCTTGTTGTCATTTGATGGCGTGTGTTGGGCTGGAGTTGTGGATTGTTCGCTTCTGGGCTTTGTTGGGCCTGAGAGGCTGCTGAGTTATTTGGACTCGGAGACGGAGAGTTGGGCGGGGAAGACGAAGAAATCGGTGACGGTGACGGAGAGCTCTCACGCTCAGAGGTAGACTCGGATCTCGCGTGGTCGGAGTTTATCGCGGCTGGTGGTGACGACGAGGACTCCGGCGGAAGCGACGGCGATGGTGTTGTGGTGGATGGTGACGAATCGTCGTTTCCTGGTGAGGAATCCGAGCTAGGTGCCGTGGTTGTTGACGCTGGCGGATCCAGAGACTGAGCATCAATGAGTGGCATAGGAATTGAAGTAAGAATAGGAGTCCAGGGAAGATTTGGTTCAGGTGAGGAAGTGGGTGTGGATTGAATCAGTTTTTGAAAGGGGAATTGAGTTTCATCGAATCTAACATGGCGAGAGGTATAGATGCGATTTTGAGTGGGATCAAGACAGAGATAAACACTCTGGGTAATAGAGTATCCCAAGAGTACACACGGTTTGGAGTTGGGTTCAAGCTTGTTTTTGGTGTATGGTTTGAGCCATGGAAAACAAAGGCAACCGAATATACGAAGTTTGTTGTAATTCGGATCTATTTGGAACAGAAGTTTGAGAGGATTTTGTAAAGAAAGGGTTGGAGTAGGCATTCGATTAATAAGATATACTGCAGCTGCAAAGGCATAGGTCCAATAAGAGTTTGGGATAGAGGCTTGATGAAGAAGAGTTAATCCTGTTTCAACGATATGGCGATGACGACGTTCGGCCAAACCATTGTGTTCAGGAGTATGAGGAGGAGAAGTGAGATGGGTGATTCCTTTTGAAGCCAGGAAATCACGAAGAGCAAGAAATTCTCCTCCATTATCAGAGAATAAGGTACCAATTTTTGTTTGAAAACGATTTTCTACGAGATTAGTGAAACGAATGAATGTTTCACGGACTTGAGATTTAAGCTTAAGAGGATAGAACCAAATGTATCTGGAAAATTGATCAACAATGATTAGGTAGTATTTGAAGTTATCAATGGATGTGACTGGAGAAATCCAAAGATCAGTGAAAAGATGTTGGAGAGGACGAGTAGAGGAAATCGTTGTTTCAGAAAAGGAAAGTTTCTGACTTTTATTAGATAGGCAATCGCCGCAACAGAAATTTGAGGACAAAGAATCAGAAATAGGCAAAGAAAAGTTTTGAATAATATTTTTTAAAATAAAAGGGGAAGGGTGTCCTAATCTTGAATGCCAATCTGCAGCTGAGGTTTTATTTTTGATGGAAGCGGAAAAGAAAGTGGTTGGAAGGGAGATTGGCCACTCATATAGCTCATCCTTGGTGCGTCCTTGGAGTAATTGGGCACCCGTGCTGAGATCCCTCACCTGAAAGTAAGACGGATAAAGATGCACCGATACTTGATTAGTATTACATAACTTGTACACCGAAATGAGATTCTTTTTGATTGCAGGTACACACAACACATTAGTCAACGATAATGAACGTGTAGAGGAGGGTAAAGTGGTGGAACCAGTTTGAGTGATGGCTTGTCCGTTACCATCACCGGCAATGACTTTTTCGCCTCATGTGTATGGCTGATGGAGAGCAAGGTTGGCTAGGTCGGAAGTGATGTGGTGTGTGGCGCCTGAGTCCAGAAGCCAATTTGGTTGGATTTGCGAGCCACTTGCGACAAAGTTGGCTCTTGGTTGCCATGGTGTGGGACCAGGAAGGACTCCTGTAGGTTGACGCGAGAGTTGTGGGCACGCCGCTGTGGCCTTGGACCCCACAGATTTGACACTTTCCGAGGTATGGTCGTGGTTGCCAAGTCGAGTTGTTGGTGTCGGTGTTTTGGCGCTGGTTAGACTGCCAAGGTTGATTGCGAGGATTGCTTTTGTTGTTGTTAGGTATGAAGCGATTGGTGGCGACGTTGGCAGAAACAGGCATGTGGGAAGCAGGTTCCGCCGTGACAATCTTGACTTCATGGTTGATGAGCTTCTCGTGAAGCTCTGTCAAGGAGGGAGGAGAGTCTCGACCTTCAACTTGGTCGATGAGTGTTTTGTACTCCTCTGGTATACCTTCGAGAACAAACTCGATCTGATCTTCGAGATCTATGACTTTGCCAAGCAGCACGAGTTGGTCAAAGCGAGTTGTGAGACCAAGGAGGTACTCATCAATTGTCTTGGTGCCCTTTTTCCATTGCTTGATCTGATACTTGAGTTGTTTGATGTGGCCACGACTTGGCTTCGCGTATGTGGCAGCAAGTGTTTCCCAGATTTCAGATGTTGTGGTTGTTTTGGACAGGATTGGCTGGATGGAGAGGGATATGGCGCCAAGGATGGCACTGTACAAGAGCTTATCTTGTCGCTTGTACAGAGTGTGAGCAGGATTCTCCGTGGTTGTGGTTGCTCCAGGGAGGGTGATGAGTGGATTTGGGACGGGTTTGGACAGATCAAGGTACGTAGCCAATTCATACCCATCAAATAGGGCATGAACTTGACGACGCCACATGATGTAGTTCGTAGCACTCAATTTTGTGATGGTGGTCATGTTGACATGAACCAAGGAGCCGTTGGTGGCGACTACGTTTTCTGTGGGGGTTTTTGTGGGGTTTGTGACTCCGTTGGAGACCGACATGGTGTTTGAGATAGAAAGGAGAAGAAGAAAAAAAAAGAGAAAATTTTTAGGGCAGGTATCGATTACTGCTCTAATACCATATAGAGTTTGTATGACTGAATGATTTGCCTTATACACAATGGTGTTACATTTATACAAGGAGCGTATGACAAGATAGGGAAAAAGAATATTTACTAGTAAAGGAGAAATATATGTGCCGATGATATTGGCAATCATATCTCAGTCACCATTAAGAAGATATAATTGAATATCTCTGATATATTGAGCTTCATCCTCCTCCTCCTGGAGTAGGACAGTTTCCAAACGCTCCCTGGCTTGATCTTCCCAAGTTTATGCGTGCTGCGTCTCCAAAGGTTTCCTTGCTTGATATTCCCGACATTATGCGTGCTCAGAGTCTCAAGCCCCGGCTTCCACGTCCCATCAGGGATCCGCTTCCACATCCCAAGTTCTTGTTTGAAGTTCCTGAGTGGATCACTCGCGAGGAGCTTGAAGATATCAAGCTCGCAGCAAAGGCTGTGACGCAGAATGGGAAGTAAACCCTAACTTGGAGTTTATGAGACCGACTGATTTTAGGTTCAAGTATTTCGATGCCCTTGCTACTGCATATTTGGAGAGGAAATACGACCGTTTTGCCAACCTTACAAAGGGTGATGAATATGAAGGAGCTTTCCAACGTCGTTTCGAGGCAAAGCAGAAGGAGTTGGAGAAGAAGGGAGTGGAGTTGACTATTGTTGATGTGGATGAATATATGTGCTTGCGTTTTCTTAAACCCCCTCATCCAATCTCTTAACTCTTAATTCATATTACTTAAAGTTTGTTTTGGATTGGCAGCTAGTTCTGAGAACGTTTTGTCTCTGTTAATCTTAAAACTTTTCTTTAATAGTTCATCATTAGTCATGGTTCTTTCTATAGTAGGTACGAGCTCCTTTTCTTTGGGCGTGGTTTTGTTTTCTATCAACCCTATTTACAAATTTGCTACTTTTCATTTTATTTTATTTTCTTTTTCTTTTGTGTGTGTGTGTGTGTGTGTGTTAACTAGTCGTTTCATAAATAAAACTAAAATATTTGCAGCCACTTCTAGACTGAACCAATATAACGAATCCATTACTGATAAAATTGATAGTAAAATGTCAATTGCCTTGAGTTAGTATTGTACATAGTTACTTGAGCTTTACGTATTGTAGCCATAAACTTCAATCTAAAATTACTAACAAAAATTCTGAACTACCTAAGCTATAAATATACGGATAAAATTCTTCAACAAAAACTGTAAGAACTTTCTGAGTGAAGAAATATATAATGAGCAACTGATGCAACGGCTAAGCTGTGATATTGCTCTTTTATACTCATACACATGAGATGGTCCAAACTCCAAACATTAAGAAATTATTTGTTGGTCATGTTAATTTCCTATAAAAGTTGAGAAACC